GTCGGCGGGGGAAGCGGCTCCGTGGGGAGAGGTGCCTGCCATCCCGGCGGGGCTGCGGGCTGCTGGCGTTCAGCGCCTGCGTGAAATCCGCCCGCGGGAGCGGAAGGTTCCTTAAGGAGCTTCTCGGTGCTTTTTTCCTCCAGTCTCTTGGTTCAGGCGATGGTAGGCGTGAAACGTTATTGTGGCGACATTTAAGTCTCGTGAAGCTGAATCGAGCTAACAGTTACCTGAAAGAATGTTTGTTTGGTTTTTTTTTCTTTTTAAAAGCAGGTTTGAAGTTTTCTGGATAGTCCTTGGTTTTTGCAGCTTACCATACAGAATGCAAATCCAGGAGAAGCTAAATTAATTGAATTAATAACTTTTCCCATGCTGTGAAGGTTTTCCAAGGCTGAGATATTTCTGTGCAAGGTACTGCTGAGTAGGATAGGACATTAGAGGTGTAACAGATTGTGGCTGGCACGGGGAACGCCAATACATCCTGCCTCGACACCGTCTCTTGCAATACAAAAACGAGGCGGATATCAAATGTTGCTTACAGGAGCTAAGCCCAAAACGTAATCAGGTGGTTCATCTGTCGGTAGGCATTGTAGAATTTGTTGCCAAAGGATGTAGAGGCAAAAGAATTTCAGAGAGACACTGGAGAAGGATTGGAGGAAAGATCTGTTAAGGTTTACCAACAGGCAAACCACACTAGGTCAAAGGAATCCCCCAAACCAGAAATAACTGGAGGCAGAGAGCACTTGGCAGAGGTATATGCCCAGCACACACGTATTTTCCTGTGGCATCTGTTTATCCCCGCTTTGGGTGACAGTAGACTAACTGAACCTTTGCTCTGAACAACTGTGGTTATTCTTATGTGCCTCCTGGACTTTCCTAGATATCCAGTAAGGGTGAGCACCTCACTGGGAATCTCTCTTTTTCCATATTTTTCTAAAAATGCAGGAACATAAGTTTGCTGAGAGTTCTACCCCATTATTAAATTTCGGCCAAAGAAATAGTCTGCTCTAAAGTTCTGGGCAGAGAGAGCAACAGGAAACCAAATTAGCCATGGTCTTCTAGGAAAAAAAGCATTATGAGATCTCTCACAAAAACGGTAGTCCTATATTTGAGATGGGAAATAAGAAATCTCAAAAAATTGAAGGGGCTAATGGATAGAAAAAACTTCCTTTGCCTTTAGGGCTTTGTATGACAAAAGGGGATGACATCTGGTTTTTGGTTGTTTGGGGTTTTTTTTCTCCTGTGATTTTTAACAGATTGATTCTTTAGTTGCTACAATTTTAGAAGGAATTTCCATTTTATGTTTGGCTTAGTGTGTCTTAGTTCCACCTGCCTTCTCCATTCAGTAAAGAATAACATGTCATGTAATGCACTTTATCAAAGATAAAACTCTGGGGAAAAGCTCAGCATACCTTTGTCAGAACTCTTGACTTCAGATTTTTCTAGGAAGTACAGAAGCTTTTCCCTGAGTCAGTGGTCTTTTTGGGTTGGTCTTCCAATTCCGTTGTGCCTTTGATTTAAGACAAACGTATCCTAAACTTTCTCTAGAGGACAAAAAAAAAAAATGCAGTGATTCTAAACATGGCGCAGTTAAGTGAGTCCTTTTATTGTTGAATTGCTGAATTGTGTTTATGCTAAGCTTTTTTTCTTTTCTTTTTTCAATTTTAGAATTATCCAGGATGTCTTCACTAACAGAAAAGGACAGACCAATTGTTCAGCTGTTGCTGAACACTGGCACTTGCCCACGATGTATTTTGAGGTTCTGCTGCGTGGGATCACAGACGCTTTATAGACATCCATACAAGGTTTGTTCTTTGTATTCCTAATTAGAATGTGTGAACACGTGAATGCAGTGTTCTCTGCACCACCTTGGAGGAGAAGGTTGTCGTATTCTTGGGCTCTTTGCCTGAGAGGAAAACGCTTTGCAAAACGAGTTATGAAAAATGACTGCTGGTATACTGTGCAATTTTGAGAAATTACAAGAATCATAGAATATAACAATTGTTGCGGGTTAAATGTTAAGTTTGACTGTGAAAGTTGCTATGTATTCCCTGAAAACACCAGAAACCAGGGCACGTTAGCTTCTGTACAGCATGGCTCAATCACTTTTGAAGCAGAGCAGCTATGACTCTCCTCTCTGTTCTTTTTCCTTTAATGTAATAAGTAGTGAAGGGGCTGTGGGCAGTGCAGCTGATGCAGAGGAGGAACCATCTATGCTCCAAACTTTTTTGCTTCATGCTTCCTTCTTCTTTCAGTAGAATTAGTAGGGGGATATAACTGAAGAATTACGGAGCACAGGTTAAGGATAAATCTTCCTTTTTCAATCAGTCAAACACAGTGTTATTAGACATCCTTTTTAGCTGACCTTAGTGCTGAAATTCAGCGTTCTTCGAATTTTTCCTAGCTGTGCACAATCATTCTTGCCTTTGTTCTTGTATTTGATACTCCTCAACTTGGTTTTGGCTATTTGCTCCTCCTCCATATTGGTTCTTTGAGACCTCTCTCATTGTGTAGGCCAAATAAACATTTCCATTTACCTGGTCTAATCCCTTGTCTTTATGCTTGCATCTTCTGGTGTCTGTCCCAATTGTTTCACCTTTGTTCAAGTTTAGACTCTCCAGAATTCATTTTTAACATCTTTCTTCCTTATCCTTTTCCATTTTCTATCAATCATTTGAGAAGTGTTCGTTCTGTATGCCATTTTGTATTCTTTTGCATCTCTACCTAATTTTCCTCTGAGTTGCAACAACACAGTAACTGCTAACTGTGTTACTGAAGACCTTTTAATAAATCTTTCTGCACTATGTCTTGCCTCTATCTCTCACCTTCCTAAAATCCAGAGACGTGGGTAATTCTTCGCTCTCCTCACCAGCACGTCCTTTAATTTTTGTAGGCTTCTCTCTTTATATGAAGTTCTTCCTCTGTATTTAATTTCACCCTCACATGTATCTGCTCTCATTTTCTTTTCATACTATACTAGCCAACTCTCTTCCTAGTCATCTGGGCTAATGGAGTTGGAGGAATTAAATTCTAACGTAATCTAAAGGACAAAAAGGCAATAAACATCTATTTTCATTGAATAGCGATAGGGCCAAAGATAAATGCATTTCTGCAAGTCAGTTCTGTAAAATGTTTTCACCGTTCTTGGATGATAAAGAAGTCTGTTCAGCAAAATTCAATTTCTCTGGATGACATTTTGAGAGAAATACAGCTTGGGGCTTTTTAATTGTGTAGATGTGTTTTGGTATAAATTCCAAGTTATTAATTACATACACTAAGGCTAAACTGGAATGGTTAGTACTACCTTTTAGAATTGTGTTTGTAAGTGCTTGTTACAGCATTGGAGAAAAGAGGAAAAAACCACAACAGTATGATTGCTCTGTTTGTGTTAGGATTTGATGAAGGATTTAAAAGAATTTCTGAAAAATAATCAAGAAAAAGAAGATACGGTTTGTTCTGACGTAGTTGATCCTCCTTGTAAGAGAATCAGACTCGAACACACAGAAGAAGGGCCTGGTGATCTGAACCACAATGGAGCACTCCAGCAGATTCCTTCGGTTAATGATGGAAACACTGCAATGGAGGACTCAGCTGTGAAGGTTTGCAATGTGTGTTTGGGAATTCTTCAGGAGTTCTGCGAGGTTGACTTTGTTAAAAAGGTAAACAAGCAGTTCTTAATCTTTATGTGTACTTTTATTGGAGCTTGTGTATGTTGGGGCCTACGGTATAGAGCTGGTGATTAAAAACACCACACGGTTAAACAATTGAGAGAAAGATACCGGAAAACAAACCAAAACTTTTAACTATTTTGAATATTTGACATGTAGATGGCGCCATTCAACTACATACCGCTCACTGACAGTGTTTGCATACCTCCTGTGCAGCTGGGAAATAAAATTTGTCGGTGCGACCGTATTTTACCCAGGCCTTGTCATAATGTAACTTTTCAAAAGAATAGCAGTGCAGGTGCAATGGAATGGCTGCTAGGAGCACATTTTCCTAAGAAGAGGACTACCAGATACAGTTAGTTACAGGAATTTAGGAGATAACCTGAGGTTCGGCTCCTTAGATGACAAGGGAAACCTCACTGTAAATGGTGACCTCTCTTCATTTTTCTTATGTGAAGGGAAAAGGAGGAGGCATCAACTGCTGTGCTCTTCAGCTTAACTACATGTTCCTAATATAGCATGAGTCTGTCTTTACAATGTACTACTATTTAGAAAGCCACAGAGGAAGAAAATGTTTTGGTGATATAACAGATTGTAGATAATGGAGAAAATAGGAGTTAGGAGAGAATATGCGCCTAATGAGTGTTGCAGACATCATCTCTGAGCAATAAAATTGCTTATGTGGCAAACAGAAATATGAGCAAGAAAAATCACACTTGCACTTGAGATGTTTAACATAGAAAAGAATTTGGTTTAATAGCATGAATATGTCTAAAAATGAGACTAAACAGAAAGCATAGTATGTAGTTTCTGTTGTTGCAGTGCATGATGTTTCTTTTTTGCTTCCATTGGCAGAGTATGTATATTTTTACAGAATTCACTTCTAAGACTTGTTTCAGAGTTACTCTCTTGAGTAGCAATGGAAAATCTGACAGCATTTGTTAAGGCACCACAAAACCTGATTATTTTATAAGGAAATTTCCTTATCTGAGATGTTGATTTCACCTTGAAAGCTCAGAATTCATCTTTAACATTCACTAAAATCACTGAAACTTTGGATGACTTCTCCATGTGTGCTTAAACTTACTTCCAGTAGGGACGTCTAGCCATCAGCTCTCGCTAGCCTACTTTAAAATTTGATGTGTGTTCGGGTTCCTACTTTATTTCTAGTGACAAACATGATTTTTTTTACGATGAAGAGTGATTAATTTGATGTGTGTTCGGGTGCCTACTTTATTTCTTGTGACAAACATGATTTTTTTACGATGAAGAGTGATTATGAATTAATACTGTGGATACCTCTTTGTTCCTGTCTTATCCCAGGATCTTAAACATTTTTATTGTCGTAGAATTGAATCACTGCCACGAAGAAAGACATTCTGAGTCAGCTGTTCTAGCCTTCAGTCACTGTGGTGTAATTCGTTGCACTAAAATTTCAGTATACAATTGGTCTTAGCCTTAAAATAGCGAGTTTGGTTGTTTCATAGCAATAAGGATACAGTTTATTAGTAACTTTTTTTTTTAACAGAACAAAAAAGCTTATATTTCAATAAGTTGTTAGGGATTACTCGGGTTTGTATGTTCGGCATCTGTCTGAATGTGTATTAACATGGATTTACAGTGATTACACTAGAATAAAGAATATCCTAAAAGATTATCAACTCGGTTCCATTGCTGTGGTTTAATATTAAAATCCTTCTCTTACAGGTGTGCCAGAAGGTTAATTCTGCTGACTACCAGTTCACTAGTTTTGTATTCTCTGTGTCACTACCCCCACAGCTGTCTGTTAGGGAGGTAAGCGTTTACAGATATTTCTTCATAACTTAAATGCGTATTAAAGAAAGTAACTGTGGAATGTACAAGCTGGAGGTGGTTTGATTTTTAATTGCTATTGTTTAAAAAAGCCAAAAACACACGCTAGAAGTGAAGTCTGCTCTCCCCTTCCTTGTTGGTATTATTTTAATTAATAAAGTGTCTGAGTCACTTCAGTTTTCAGTTAGCCCGGGAGTTTACATCTGAAAATCTAAAAGGAGTTTCTTTAAACCCTCGGTGTATTGTTCCCTTTGGTACAGATGCCAGCTCTGCTTTGTGGATCTTCTCGGAGAAGGAACTGCACAGCTGGTGCCTTTCCTGAAATAAATGATAATTGGTAGTGCAGAATACAAATGAAGGAATTTGAAGATGAACTCTTTAACTGTTCAGCATTTTAAATGATGTGAAAATACATGTTTTAATAGTCACCTGTCTTGGGCATTATTGAAAGTCTAGATTTGTAAAACTACAGTTTATAGCAGTTGTAAAACTACTGATTTTGATGGCAATTTTAATCAACCTTATATTGTTTACATTTCAGTCATTTAATTACAGAAGATGATGATAACATGGAGAGGTGTATAACCCTGGTAATTTTTTTTTTAAATTGAGGAAGAATGCTAAGCATAGTATAGTTTGATGAAGAAAATGCCAATTTTTGCTTAGTTGTGAGATGTTTTACGATGTTCCTCTGCTTTCTGATAAAAAATGATGCAAAAATACTATTCTAAAGGGCAACATGTAAATCTTTGTGATAGATGCCTGCTGTGGTAAGATGTAGTAGAAGCTTCAGTGAACATGGCAGAAAGAAGTGTAGGTCTTCTTGGATTTATATATAAACTTAGGGTGAGGTCTGTTCTTATCCCACACAGTTTGATTGTTAAATAATATACTACACTTTTAGTGGTGATTTGTACTGTTAGTTCTGGCATCTCAGGCAGATGCCAGTGTAATAGCTGCGTTGTGCTAACATATATTCTACTTCTAAGTCTTCTTGAACATAAGATTCTCTACTTCCCATCTGAAATTAAGCCTAATTGGTGTGTTTGCTTCAGCTGCCACTGTGTCTGGTAAAATAATACCAGAACAAATTGCTTTGTGCTTTCTGAATGGAGGAACTCTCCTTACTCCCATTTGATTTTATGGTCATCCAAAAAAATGAGATATGTCAAAAAACCACTTTCAGGCTAGGTGAGTATATGGATGCACGCGTGTGTGCCCATGATGCTCTGTAAAACTCCAAATGTAGGTCAAACTTACTCTAACTTTGTGCCTGGTGTAAGCTTAGGTGTTTAAAAAAAGAGGAGCCTTATTATTTTTAGGGTACTATTGGTCAGGTCTTTTCCATTTCCAGTCTATCTTTGCTAGTCATTACTGAGACCTCCCTTAACGCTATTCATTATAGCCTCAATGGGCAAAAACAAAGTGATACACGGAATCTTTTGGCTAGCGTCCCAACTGCAGTTCCCGTGTTATCAAGTTCTCAATACATTTCCATTATGCATCTTTAGCTTGACAGCTATACTTTATCTAGCTTAAAAATAACTTTTTTTCCCCCCCCATAGCATAGCTATATAACGACGGAGGCGAGGAAAGAAAAAATTGATGCTACTGTTCTTCCTCACCCTCCTTGTGGGTCTTTGCCAGAATGCCTCGGTAGAGGGTGTTATTGCATTGCAGTTCTAGCTCAGTGATGTTCTCGCACTAATCTCAACAAGCAGGGCAAGTGTTTCTGTCTGCTTTTGTGGCAGCCTTGGCTGTAAATGGAAGCAAAAAATAATAGTGTGCTTCGGAGAGTTCCTCTTGCTGATTGAAATATTGATGATAAACTGGAACTGTGTGGACTGGGAAAACTGACTTGGCAAATGCAGTTGGTAGAAACCCAGATTTATTGCTTTGTATAACTTTGTCTTCTAAGTGCAATAAATTATTAGTTTGATAAAAGGGATGAGATGTAACATTTAACCTGTCCATCTGCTTCATTCAAAGTATCTTGTCCTTATGTTCAAGCAAACAAACAATACTACAGTGCTTGGTACAACCAAGGGAATAAAAGTTGTGATGTGGGTCCAGAAATGAATAGGTGGAGTGAGATGAGTGAGTAGGAAGCTCCAAAAACAGATCTGTTCTCTTTGGAAACAGTTTTGGTTTGTCGGGGAGCAGGTCTGCATTAGGAAGTCCCTGCTGTCCCTTCTATTGCATCCCTTCAGCCTTGCAAATGCTAAATCAGCTGTTTGTGTAGCTGTGCTCTAACTGAAGGGGTGAAAATGGGTGATGGTGGAGAAAGAAGCTCTTTAAAAATCTTGGGGGTTTATTTACCACCTATCCGTTATCACTTCAGAAAACAATTGGTAAAAACAGTTCCTGTTTTACAGGTACAGAAAAGCAATAAGTAATATAATATGTCAAAATATCTCAAATATCTCAGAATGCTTTGTGTTGAAAAGAGGTCTTTTGTTAAATTCTGCTTTTAATTCTTTGAACTGCACTGTACAAGAACATATGTAATTTTATCATAAAAGGACAGCCCAAAGACAGCCTCCCTCCCATTGACCTTTTGTATGACACACAGATTTCCTCTGATTTCCTTTTAACAAAAAATCAGAAACTGCCTTTTAATATTACCTTCAACTAATTTAATTATGACAGTTGTCATCTTGCCAAGTCTAAAATGTACGATAGGAGCTGAAGAAGAGTGGGACATAAAATTTACATTTGCATAGTATTTGTATCTGCAATGCAAAGAAGCTATCACCTCTTTCCACAAGTAGGATATTCGATTAAAATAAATCATAAATGCAGGAGTCCCAAGTTTATGTCAGACAACTATATTAGAATATGAAGTGAGTCATGCCCTTCAAAAGGGTGACTGTTAGCTGTGTCTGTAGTCTCAGTTGTGATCCATCATCCTGGTACTTGCTACAAGGACATTGATGCAAATAGCATCTGTAGTCATTACTCCCTGTAGGACTGTGTATACCTCATCGTGGAATTCCCCATCTCAAAGCTCTTTTCTAATACAGTGAAAAAATGCCGTGGCTGGGATTGCACACAGTATTTCAACTGTTGCCACTGTGATCCCTCAGATAGCATTAGAATAATATCCTGCAGCTTGTAATCAATATAGTGCCTGAGCTAGTGTATTTCAGAAATATATTTGCTGTTAAGCATTGCCCTGCAGGCTTGAGCTCTGTAATGAGCATTTTTCATTTTCAAACCACTTCACAAACATAAAGTAATTACGAAGTAGAGGGATCTGATCCCCTGCTTCACGTACAGCTGGGAGAGAGCAGAGCAGGGGAATGAAGGCATAGGAGTAGAGGGGTTTGGCTGGCTTGGTGTTTGAATGTGATTTGGAATTTGGGATCTTTTGGCTTCTGTGCTCGCAGTACCCTAATCTATTGTTTCCTCCTAATTGAAAGGGAAAAGTAATTTCTTTAATTCTCTTTCAGTTTTGAAGTCAAGAGAGAGGAGCTGAAATTTGACCTGCGGTCTCATTTTAGCATAGCTACTTACATGCAGAAGTTTTCTCTATTTTGTAATTGTACCCCTGTAAAACAGGGGAAAGGAGTGAGATTAGCCACCCGACTGAGTACCAAACCTACATGTTCTTTAAATCAAGGCATATGAGATTTTTTAAATTGGCATTTGTCAAACGCAGATTTCTAGACCTGGTTCTATGGTTGTCGTATTCTCTAGTTCAGAATTATGTTCAAGGAATTTCAATTGGAAACTATTTTTATTTATTATTGTATCTGGGTTATTATGCAAACCAAATTACAATATACTTCATGGTGTTTTGTGAAGCAGTCTTACTCATACTGTCTACATATGCAGGACACTGAATCACAGTGAATTTGAGTAAACAGTATTCCATCAATACAACTATATTTATTTTGTTCAGTAGTGTGCTGTTTTGTGTATCGTGTATCTAACAAAGTTTGTGTTCTCTCTCCGCCATCCCTCTTTCCCCTTAATATTTCTAGCACTGTTTTTAGGATTCCCTCATTCTCTTAGATGTACCAAAGGAAGGATAATGGACATTTTTTTGGTTGAGTTCCTCGATCAGCCTGTAAAAGAGATCTATGATGTGGTTACTTCTGATATCAGTGAAAAGATGATGTGATCCTGGCTCTGCTCCTTTAAGTTTGATACAAGTTTTCAAACCTCTTCATTAGAATTATTTCCTTGACAATAGACAATAATTGTTTCGACAGGGTTTGGAGGGAGGTTATTCTCAAAGCACCATATATGAAGAATGAAGGACAGGGAAGGGATTTAAAATTCTGAAGAATTTAAATCAGTGATGTTCCCTGCTTTTGAGATGTCTTGTGGACATTGCAAGTGTGTATATGGTTCTATGACAAGTGTATGGAGTCACCTTTCTCTGACAGTTTACTAGTAGTCTGCAGTCCACAGATTGAAAACTACTAATTTTGATTTTTTTTTTTTTCACTGTAATTGTTTCAAGCCAAACAACTTGGGTTTTGGAATTCATCTTCAGTGAGGATGGTGAGACTAGGTGTCCAGACTGTGTATGGACAGTACGGGTTCTATTAGTCAAGTGGCATCCTGCCAGTCTTAATGTATTTTGTTGTTGTTGTTAGTGGAGGAAGAACCGAGAATGTTATTGTTGTTGTTGCTTCGTTGTAGGAAGTTTTGAGGAGAGTTTTTCTCTTCTTATTAATTGGTTTTGCACCGATAGGCATTCTGTTGAAATGGAAACATTGTACGGGTCTTCTGAATACCTGTGTCCAACATCACTTTTTTCCCCACTTAATTAAAGACCTAATAGAAAGGCCATTTGAGGTCAAAGTTAAAATTCTGGTTAACTGTAATGCACTTGAGTTTAGTAAGGTATGTTTTCATTGCGGTGCAGAGAATGGCAGTCACTCTTGGCCCACGCAGGGGCAAAACTTAAAGCCTAAAGTGCTGAACAATTACTACACTGAAGTAATAGATCATTTTGTAGAATCAGTATGTCAGTACAGAGAGAAGTGAGTGAGAACGCAAAGAGATGCACCTCTAAAATGTTTGGCTCCCCAGAGCAGAGTTTGGGAAAAATATGCTTTTGGAAGCTTTTGGCATAAGCAGTGTTGTCTGGAAGTCCAGTTTCTTGATCGTTTTTAATTTTGTTCAAGTCCGTTAGTGTTGCACTGATGTGATGGCTGTTGCTCCGTTGTGCTTACTTTTGGATTTTTTCTATTGTCCTTTCATACCACTGGTAATTTTAATTCTGCTTTTGATCTTTGTTATAACCCTTGTTAATTCTTATACTGCTGAGTTCCATTTGTTGGCTGGGACACCTAAGTGATGGTTCATGGTCTTCTTTCCTGGGCAGCGTCGCATCTAAGGGGCCTGCTACGTTATGTTTCTTTACATATATAAGGCTGCTAGAGGAGAGGAGTAGAGTTTGAGGAGGTATTTACAATGCACGGATTCGGGACAACCGAGCATTAGAGCAGGTTGTCCAGAGAGGTGGTGCAGTCTCCATTACTGGAGGTTTTCAAGAACTCATTGGATAGAGCCCTGAGCAACCTTGTCTGATTTCATAGCCGATCCTGCTATAAGCACAAGGTTGGATAGAGACCTCCTGAGGTCCCTGGATTATCCTGTGATCACAGATGTAAAGCAAATATTACTCCTTGGAACCTCTGCTCAAAGAAGTGTATCAGGAGCTGCAGAAGGTGGTATTTACAGAGAATCTGCACAAAGCAACAGAGGGGTAATTGGGAAATGAAAAAGGAGAATTCAAGGTTGAATCTGCCCGTGATTCTCAGATCACATCTTCCAGCCATTCCTGCGTATGCTCTGTGATAAATGTTAGTGAACTCAAGCGTTTGTACTAAAAGCTCCCTCTGATTTCTAGAATTATTCCTTCTGTTCCTCAGCTTTCTCATATTCAGCCTATGTCTCCTTGTGCTAAAGTGGTGTGCTTTAAATAAGGGGGCAATCCTCAGGGAAAGGGTTCGTGATTACCATAAGACCAAGTATGTCTTTTATTTCATGTTTTTTATAATGGATGATAACCGAATTTGATTTTTTTTTTTAAATTTATATGTCAAATCAGTTTTCATATACCATCCATTGAGACACTTTTTTTTTTTTTTTTTTTTTTCTCTGTATGGTAGATAACTGCTAGTTGCACTTGACTTAGGCTGTCAGAGTCTTTTTCTAGTTACAGTGTTAATAGCAAGTTTCAAAGTGTGTTTAATGCAGCCTGATCTTTTTTTTAAAGCCAGATAGGATTTGAGGTGAATTGCAAAGTGATGTCTTACAAATAAAAATGAACACCAATTCTATCTTTCCACTTCTAAAGCAAAAGCTAAATTAAAATCCTCATACTTCTTTTTGTCCTGAGTTTTTAAAACATTTTTCCTTCTGCTAACAGCCTCTCAAATTGTTGGGAATTTTGAGCCTTAATTTCGCTTGCTTTTTTCCCCCCCCCTCTTCTTCCTGGGCATGGCTGGTGACCTATAGCGTGCTGCTTGGCTGCTGGTAAAACAGGAAATGGGGTGAGTAATTTCTTTTGGCAACCCTCGTACCACTTCTGTTAGAGAGTTCTCCAGATTTAGAGAAAGGAGAGATACTCTTACTATAACTTTTTTCCAGCATAGTAGAAATGAGAAACCACTTAATGCAGTGGACCCGCTGAGACATGTACGTTAAGAGAAAATTTTAACTGAGCAATTAATGCTGTATTTTCAAGGTCAAGACAGTTGCTTTCATATAAAGGTACTTCTGCTAACAGTTGTGGAATATGTAGACTCACTTCCTATGTCCTCGGACGAGATTTTAACTTACTTTGTACCTTCAAAACTAATGATAAGGAAACTCATAATTGTGATGTGCTGTCATTTTATTTGGGTTTTTTTTTACTTTTTATTGTCCATAGCTTTTGCCGTATGTCTGACAAGAACTCCTTTATATAGACACCATTTGTCTATATAAATGTTGAGCAGGCAAGAAGTTAATTTTGTAGTCTTGTTATGATACTATTGTCCAGTTTACTTGATGCTTACGAAGGATAAGATGGCAGCTGGTTTGGTTTTTTTACCTGGTTTGACCTTAATTGGGGTTTCTTATCTCTTTTGCCTCATAGTGTGATTATAGCTAGGACGTGGCGTTTCAACTTGGAGTGCAGGCTGTCTGTCCAACTGTACAGCTTTGAGTTAGCTTAATGGTCCTGAGATGCCATCTGTGAGCCAGAATCTTCTTGTACGTGGAAGACATAATGAAATACAGACCTCTTCAAGTTTAGCTTACATTAATAGTGACTGAAAATTGTTAGTCAGATAATGGTGAAAAGTCAGTAGTGTAGCGAGAAAGAGATTAGTGCAGTGGGTGCAAGTTAGTTTTGACTCTTCTTTTTTTATACCTCAGTGTTTTAAAATCAATTTAAACGCTTGATTCTTTGTCTACTCCAGGACACTCCCATGCCTGGCCAAATGAGAACAAATGAGAACATATTAGGGCCATTTTGAACAGATAAATTATCTTTGTGGGCAAGAGGAAAGAAATCCACCTGTCTCAAAGTTAGTTGAGGATACTGAACTAGTCTTTGGTGGAAGCCATCTTGGCTGGAAGTACCATTTCAAGATACTCATAGAAAGCTAGACTAAAAGGTGATGAATCACTTCCTACTTTGAGACTAATTTAAAAGCAATTGTTTCGTTAAATTGCTTGAGAGAGGATGAGACCCTGTAGGGCAAATATTGCCCACAGAGCCTACCATTGGTGCCATTTTTATAGGAGGACATGCGCTTTGCTCTGTAAGTTCCCAAACAAGTGGTTTGAAATCATATGCTGGTATCCTTACAGGCATCTGCTCCTTTCAATTTCTCTCTCCATAGGCAAAGGCACAGGAGTCGAGGCCTGGTCTTGTACCTACAGAGGTAGTAGAGCCTGTCCCAGCAAGGTCAACTGAGGTGGTCATCTGGGCTTCTCCTTTTAGGAATTTGTGCCCACTGGAGTTCATGCCCTCCTTTAATGAAGGACTGGATCGCCCTTTTAACCATAAAAATAAGTCTAACATTTTTTGGGTTTTTTTTTTGTAAACAAAGTATTTTTGTGCATATCTCTTTCTCAGCTCTTCTCCAGGTAGACTCTGGAAAGACTTCTGCAACTTTTGATCTACCGTGAAGCTATGGCATGAGTTTCCTCAGTGCATGTTCTTTTACACAGGAAAAAAAAAAGAATCTATTTTTAAATGTTAGTGAAAAAAAACACTGGCAAATAGAAACAGGGCAAAACAAGATATTATTTAGGCTGGAAGCTGGACAGGAGGCTCCTTAGCAAGTAGCACAGGTGCTGCCCTGCAGGATCCAGATACTCAGTTTACTTAAGCTGAACTAGATGTTGATTTACTCTCAGAAGGATCTTCCCTCCATCTGGATGTACCTTCTGTCTTTCTTGTGTTAAAAGAAGTGCTTATGTGACCACCCAGAGAGCTCATCATCTCAATGATCTGGCTGAAAAACAAAACTTTCTTTGGTGGATTAGGGTTTGCTTTAAATGGGATCAATGGACTAGCATTACTTACCATGCTGTGTAGTGTCAGCATGCAAGTGCTGGCAGGAATGCATGGCCAGAGGCAGGGAGGAGGCAACATAGTCCTAAATTGGCTTGAGCTGACTGTAGCTGGAGTAGCTACACCTTTAGCTACTCTCTGCCAAACTCTTACGTGTTTATTGGGAAACATCTTACCTGGAGTTCTGGTCTGGCCTTAATGTTTCCTCAACGCTTTGTTAATTCAATACAAAGATTCAACGCCATTGTAGGAGGTCTTGGAACAGCCTTTCATTCTTTCATGCCATGGTCTGCATGCTTAGTACTTTTGTCCTTTTTTATTTGTGCATTGCTTGTTTACTTGGCACTAGTTACTTAAGTTTGTCTTGAAATACTGTATGTCATGTATCTATCTTTGACAGACTCCTGTGCAAGTTATTATTTCTTTGTGTATGTGATTCAGAAAACTGGGCCTTTCCTTGGCAAAGGATGACATTGTTCAGCTGAAAGAAGCTTATAAGTGGATTATTCATCCCCAGTTGTCAGAAGAGTTGGGTGTTCCTGCCGATGGAAAGGTGTCGTATAAATAAGAAAATACTTTTTTTCTCTCTGTTTTTTTCTTTTTTTTATATGTGTTTGTGTGTGTATATATATATTTATACACTTATATATATGAGGGGAAAAAATAAAAATATATACTTTTTTCCCCTCATTAACAGATAAACAAGTTGCACTGTTCTTATATTCACTGTAGGGGGAAGCAAGGGGGAAGGTCTTTTAACCAGAGGTCTCCAAGTCTCAACACTGAGGGGTCCAGTCTTCACTTTTGTACACGTAGATCATTGCATCTCCTGAAACCGTCGCAGTCTTTTGCTAAATCTCTTGCTCTTGGGCTGCCATCCTCCTTTTATCAATGCGACTTTTTCAGTTTTCTCATTTTCCAGGATCTCTGTTTTCCAGAGGCTAAGGAATGCTCACACATGCCTTCTTTGCTCTCCTATTACTGCCAACGCTGTTACTGCTCTGTGAGATAAATTGTTCAGGTTGTTAGCATGTTAAATTACGTGGATAAAATGTATTTCTGAAACATACTGAAAGAGGACAGACTGGTCCTTGTTCACTTTAATGAATGCTAGAGATAGGCATGTTGGAACCTGCAATACCTGTAAGTAGGCAATAGAAATGTTTTTTCAAACCCTGTTTTCAACTTTCAGATTCTGACTAACAGTCTTAAAATGTTTCTGAAATGCATTGACTGAACATGACATTCAGATGTTGCCAGACCAATTGAGAAACACCATCATCTTGAATGTAAAATTTCTGCAAACATGGCTAAAATTCCTGCTGAGGACAAGGCAGTCTGCAGTTTTTACCGGTCATCAGCCATAGGACTGACCCCAGGACTAGACTCACTTAGTCTGTACGTTGGTTTGTCAGCTTCCATAATAATTACAGATTGTCTTTTCCCAGGGGTGCTAATTGAAAACGTCCCTTTTATCTTAATGAAGAAAGAAACGCTCGGTTATCCTGAAGATGATCCAAGAAGAAACAAACTTCTTAAATACCAAGTTAGCAAAAGCTCTACAACAATTAGGCACCGAGCCACTCCAGACAGCACTGTACCATAAAAGTTACTTGTCTAGTGCTCTTTATCTACAAGGCACTTGAATATTAGCCAATCTTTTCAATAGCCCTCTTGAGATATTCTGGTATCTGAATAACAGAAGTAATGAGTGTTGTTTGCCCAAGGCCAAAGAGGGAATTGGGGGTAGAATTGAGATTACACTAGAGTTTCTGGTCTAGCTGTCAATCCACTAGGACATGTTGCCTTTCTTTGCCCCAAGGCCATCCAGTCATTGCAGATGAAGCCCCTGACAAAATTTTACAATGGTGACTACTACAGGGTTTTTATCTTTATTCCACGCTATGCTCTGCTCTCCCAGAAGGTTTGTGAAGTTTAGTGACCGTAATAGGCTTTGAGCATACACTGTCTCTGACTCAGTTCCCCCTGTGCAAAATGGGGCTGGTATCTATGATGTGTAGGTCACTCATGTTTTTGAAGTGCTCTCGGATCATCTTTGGTTACTTCAGAAATGCAAATGCTATTATGGCACACGTTTTAATGTCTTTAGAGAATTTGTAGAATAAATGGGTAACTTTCTCTTTTGACTACCTCTTTAATGTTTTTCTAATATTACAATGAGGATGCTTGAGAATATCCTCCCTGTTTGTTTAACAAAGTATTACCTTCCTTTTACCTTCCTTTTTTCTTTCTTTTTTTTTTTTTTTTTTTTTTTTTTTTTAATTCAGAGTTTGTTTGAAGTTAGCGTGGTCTTTGCTCACCCGGAAACAGAGGATGAGTGCCGTTTCCTGTAAGTTTTTATATAAATAACAAAAGATCTTTATCTAAATATTGTGCAACATTGTTGGTTTGGATTTGCTACAGATGAGACTATGCAGTGTTTATAAACTAGAATGGGGCCTGCATCTAAACTTCCTCATATTCAGATAGAGTTGCAGAACTTAAAGTTACGCCATCTCTGTCTGGTTAATTCTGTGCTTTAAAGCCAATAAACAAAATCATCCAGAATTTCGATTTGAACTGGAAGGAGAACTCTCATATACGTTGTTTAATTTCAGCCCTTTTCAAAGTCATTACCCTCTTCAATAGAGCGTATCATTTTAAAAAATAAATTCAAACCATGTAGTTGCAGGTGGGGGAATCTTTTGAGGTCATGCCTAGGTTTTCCTGCTCTTACAGGAGACATGGATGGGAGGGAAGGCTTTGAAGTGAGTTAATCCAACTTAGCTGGTTGATTAAAACAAACAGAAGTTCCCTGGCCACTAGACATAGTTTTTGGCCTGGCCCACTAGAGCATCTGCTCAGCAAAATATTTCTGTGAATTTAGCTACCATTTAGTCTGATTTCTCAAAATCTAGCAGTAGTATATTCTGGATAATTAGGTTCACTCTTGCTGGTCGCTGATGCTTCCTGGAAAACTTAAGTGTCACTCGGTTTCATTGCTTGCACTCTGCTGCAAGTTAAATCTTAGCATAGAAAGAGGCTCGGCATAGAATTTCTGACTTCCCTGTTTCATAGTGACTTCATCTCTTGAGACTAGAGATTTCCTTTGCAGCCTTTATATATTTCCCCGATTTTACCCCTTCTGGCAATTTGTGATCTTTGTTTGAATGCCCAATCTGCCACCTTCTTGGTTTTCAGCAGCTGCATCCTTCATTTGCCTTGGGGTAGAGGGTGAGGGAGTGCATGCTTGGTGACAGACCAGATATTAGGAAGAATTGATTACTGGTATTTGCTGAGCATCTTCCTTTCCAGCTTCTTCAAGACCGGGCAAAAGGGGGAGAAAGTAGTAGGGCCAAACTACAATTCTAAATAATGTTACCTGCAATCCTGTAAAATCTCAAAAGTTTCTGGATCCTGCACCCTTTTGTTCTTATTTATTTAATTTTACTTGATCAGTTCTTGTTTGCTGTAGTGCTCTTCCTTCCTCTGAAACCTCTCAGCTCTTATTTTCAGCTCATCCTTCCATCCTTTCTGTGACGTTTCAAAAACATGGATGTCGAGCACGTTATGGTGCCAATGCTAGCGCTCCAAGGGGAATAGTTATAGAGGTGAAAGCTGTAAAGAAGTTCCATTCCACATTCCCACTACTCAGGTTTATTCCATGTGACCTGACACTATCCCTTTATTTGCCTTCTCTTTGTAGCATACTTAAACAGCAATTAAGGTTTTAGACATTTTTCTTAAGTAACAGCATATTACCTAATTTAATTACATAGTAGTTTCTCAGGCGTCAAGGCATTCTGTGTATGTGAATGGCTGGTTCTGGGCAGATTCTGAGGGAATGGTTTGGTTTTGATGTAAATATGGTAAATTTGGCAATTGTCACAGCTTTAGTAATGACAGTCATGTTTTTTGTGGAAGCAAAGTAGGACCTTGTCTCAACCTGGAGAAGTCCTCCAGGTATGCTTTTGGGTAGCATTTCCAAGTATGGCATCTGCAGTTTCTCATCTCTCAAGCTGTTCTTACCCAATCATGTGTAGATAGGTGTGCTAAAATGACCCTTGGTTTGACATGGAAGATTGAATTGGCTCTTGTTACTTGATATTTGGAGATTTATGTTTAAAGGTAAGGTGATATTTAAATTCCGGAAGAGGGAATTTGTGACGCTTTGTGTCACAAACTGGCCAGGCAAGTTGCTTGTGTAGAAACAGCATGAGGTCAGACCTGCTTCCTTATAGTCTAAAGTAGTTATAGAAGCGTTGAAAAGCACCAGCAAGAAATGATAAATTGTGTTGTAGGCTAGAAATCATCTCTAACTGCATACATAGAAATCCACTAATAGGAACAGCAACTTCCTCTACAGTACTCAGAAAAAGTGTTTCACTGACTTGGCTTTCACTTTCGTGAAACAACCAATAGTTTCCTTTTGAAGAGGCAAAGCACAAATGGCATCGAACACCTGGGGTTACTTTTTCTGTAGTAAATTGAATTTTCCTATCCAGAAGCAGCGATTTGAATCTCTAGTTTGTAGTGTGCATTGGCTAAGACCAGCAAGTATAGATTTCAAGATGTCAGCAAATCTTGCACAGAACTTAAACGTTAGTCATTATCTTTATTGAGAAGGATTGGAAAGGACTGAAAGCTAAACTTCTTGTGTGCTTTTCCATCCCATCTCAAAGCTGAGACACATTTGTGTTGGTTAGAGCAGAAGAGGCTTACGCAGCTTTGTCCGTGACTTCTCCCTAGATCGAGCAACACACACCTTCCGCCATTTGTGGTTTAGGATAAAGTTAATTTTAAAATCTGCTCTGTGCTAAGCTGTGGAAGTGAGATACTGGACATATTGGTACACAGACCATGTAGCTGCTATGCTTATAAGTCTGTCTGTCTGCCTGTTTATTTCTTTTTCTGTAAGAGTAGCAGCTAATTTTCATTTCTGTATTTAGAGCCACAGCCTGTCCAGACTGTTTCAAACCAGCGAAGAACAAACAGGTAGGATCTCATCATTGTTGTATTTCTTTTCTGACATTCAGAATTTCACGGCAGTAGCTACAAGGAAGAACTTCTCTAGGTATTCAGTCAGTGTTTAATGTCTGGTTTTCCTTCATCAAAAATCTCTCCAGTTTTCAGTTGCCTGAAAATAAAGTTGTCTCCTTTATTCAGTTAACATTTCTCTGCTTAGGAAAACTAAGCGCTTGGTGCTTTTCTTTAGGTCGTTCTTTTTCCAGACTGTCTAAAGGCCATAATTTTAGGAACGTTCTCTGTAAATACCTCCCTTAAGATCTAGGAATTTGATTGTCATGCATTAAAAGTAGCATAAAAGATGATCCTTAAGCTCTCTGTGGGTGAAACAGTTCAGATAAGTCACATTGTGAAGATGAGACTCCGCAGCCGAAAGAGAATGATCACGCTGCAGTTTTCATGTCCTCTGATCTGAATGAAAGACAAAATACATGCAGGATGGTTTTATCCTGTCTACCTCTGGAGGGGGGGAAGGAAAGAAAAGGGACCTTGCCACTTGTTGCAGGCCGTGAGCACACACACAATCATTGACAGAAAAGAGGACATGTAAGAATAAAAAAACAGTTGGAGAGAAACTGATATAAGTAGGCCAGTGGGTGTGATCAGAAGAACAAGTAACTTCTATCAGAAGCCTATGCAAGGCCTTTTATTCTTTCTGGTGAAGAGTCTACCGACATTTGGCTGAGGCAGTCCGACCCAGGAATTCTGCCTACTCTACTCCACCTGACCAATAAATGCGAGTCTTTTTTTAGAAGGATTGTATTGTTATAACTCACTGCTTGCTGCATTGCTTTCCGTTAAAAGGGGGGAAATCCCCCATAAGGAGTTAAACCAGCAGGGCCTGGCTGTTAAAACCACACAGGCAACGAGATGTAGGGGAATCTAAAGGAAAAAATACCAACTCTGAAGAGCCGTCAGAGGTTCATCCTTACAAAGAAGCTGTGCTTGAAGCTAGCTTCAAGGGCTGTGTTAATCAGAGAAGTCGTATAAAAACTGGGTTCTGAGTGAAAATTTCTGTCTCATCTGCTGTAGAGACTTATTTAAACCTGCTGCTAGTTTAAGGGTTTTCCAGCTCATGTGTTCTGTGAGGAAGGGAAGTGCTATTATCTCTAGTTTATGCTTAGAAAGAGAAAGAGCAGCTTTCCTGAAGGCATCCAGGAACTCTGTGTTAGAGCAAATTGTCCCAGTCAGCCACCCGGTATTTTTCCCTGTTTTTTCCAAATCCCCAATCCAGTTTGCAAAAAAGACATCATTAAATTGGAAATTCAGCGGACGGCCACCAAGACAGCGAAGGGGCTGGAGCACATGCCCTAGGAGGAGAGGCTGAGGAACCTGGGCTTGTTCAGCCTGGAGAAGAGAAGTCTTTGTGGAAGACCCAACTGAATCTCCCCCTAGTACCAACAGAGAGGTTACTGAGAACAGGGAGCCAGGCTGTTCACCACAGTGCATGGTGGAAGAGTGAGAGATGGTGGACATAAGTTGAAATGAGAGGTTCAGAGTACATATAGGAAAAAACTTTTTACCATGAGGACAGTCGGACAGTAGAGCAGGCTACGCAGAGAGGATGCGCGGGCTCCGTCCTTGGAGGATTTCAAGACCTGACTGGATAAAACCCTGGACAATATGGTTTGATCTCATAGCTGACCATGCTTTGATTAGGGAGGTTCATTTAGAGACCGCCTATTGTCCTCAGCCTTCCTAAAGTAGGATTCCACCTCACCTGTTACAACACTTACTTCTCCTGTTCTAGGAACCTAAATTCAGTGTTTTCTGCCTTAGCCCCACTTGAGTTATCAACAGCAGCACCTGGCTATGCATAGAGGATGGTAGTCGTGGCTCCTGTCACCGTTGTACTATTATTACTACTTTTACTATCAGTTCACCCTTGTGAATTGATGCAGCTCAGGAGACTGAAGTTGCTCGCCTTCCACAGTTCGGGAACTGCCAAGCCCTACCATTCAGAGCCCTTACTTCTGAGTATGAATGAACTTTTGAACTTTGTAGACAGGTATCTACTTAACAGTATTATTTTCAGAAGAACTAGCTTCCTACTGTCACCGAGATAAAAGCTGGGGCTTAGGTATACTTAACTTTTGGAAACAGGGAAGCTGGTTTAGATTTCTGTTTGTGGATTTAGGATTCCGTTTTTAATCTGTTTTGCAAATTTGGACCTGAGCTCCCAAGCACTACTTTTTTTGTTCTTGCTTTTGTACACTTTTATATATCATCTGAAATACGATCGTTTCCAAAGATATGTCTAGCATTTCTTTCAGCTAACCAAAGGGCAGAGTTAGCAGTTGAATATTCTAAGGAGCTGGAGTAGGTTTCTCTGGAAGAGTGACAGTAATTTTAGACCTGCTGAAAGTCAGTGGCGCTTGTTATTTTTTTCTGCGTAAAAACAGAGTGAGGAAACATATACTACTGTTTGTACGTGTCTTCTAGAAAGAAAGGGGCAAATCTTAGTTCTACAACTAAATAACTGTTATGTTCCAATCTGTCAGCTCTATTAGTTGTATTGCTTTCATGTTGTGAGTAAAGTTACTTGAACAGATTTTGGCAAAATTACCTGTTGCTCTCTGTTGCCCTATTAAAGTTAGGGTTGAGATCACAGTGGGTTCTGGCTGATACAGAGTTGCTTCTAGGTATAAGAAAACACAAAACACAAGTGAAAGAAGTATATTGTGAGAAGTGTACGGTGTGTATATTTTAGGGGTTTTTTTCTTCCTTAGGCATATCCTTTCTTAGCTTCTCTTAGTTCTTGACTAATTTTTTTTTATTTCACTGTGCAGTCTGTTTTCACTAGAATGGCAGTTATAAAAGCTCTAGAGAAGATAAAAGAAGAGGATTTTCTCAAGTAAGTATATACTGAAACTAGTTCTTAGTATTGTGCTTTTGTATAGAATTAGGATGGAGGGGAAAATATTAGGTGGGTAAGTAGTGGTTGTTCAAATTCTGCTAGTTTACTGGTTAAAATGTGTTGCGTTTTCTATTCTTCTGGTAATAAAATGTCATTCCAGATCTTTTATTTAAGGAGTTATCTTAAAATGCTTGAGTTAAGCCACAGAGGATGGAAAACTGGACGTGACACAAATGATGGTCTTTTTCCCATTAGTAAAAGTGCTTCATTGGCTGATTATCTCAGGAGCTGCACGGAGGAGAAATCGTGGGTCAGAGCGCTGCAGTTCTGCTCTGTGCTTTCAGCAGTACGTCACTGCAGATCTGTGGGCTGGCATGGGATTTAGAAGGGTTAGAAGTTAAAACAGTTTGTTGTAGTATTGCCAATCATTTACATTCAAAAATCTTTATGTACATCCCCAAAACCACAGAAGAGATTTAGAAATTGTGGAACTTCCTTCTGTATTTTGAACCTTAGAGTTTGTAAGGCAAACTTCTCTTTACAAGAAAGACTTTTTCCCGTATTTCCAAAATGTTAGGAGTGGAGTTTTAAGAAAACATCAAGTGCTGTAATACGGTAAAAATCACGAGCAGCGGGAAGACATCAATAGACACTCTTTCTGTAGTTCACTGTGCTTAATTGCACTAAGTCTTCGCGGCTCTTTTCTTTGATTCCCAGCAAAGATTTAGTAATAGATCCTGAAGATACTTTTCATGCAGTGTTTAGTTTCATTATTGCTATAGCTATAGCATGGTACATCTTACTAGCACACTTTGGAGTGTTTTACTTCGATAACGTTCGATGACAGATTGACAAAAGTATTTGCAATGCGGTGTGGTTGATTTGCTTAATGTTTATCCATTTCTTGGTGTTCTAGATTTTAATGTGAATACTGAGTTTATACTGTAGCTGTGTTTTGTGTAACTGAAGTAATCATCTTTCGTGCCATTATTGCTATGATGATGCTCCGTCATGTTCTGGTATTACTAGTCTTTTTTAATCTTTTTTTTATACAGGCATTTTCCATGTCCCCCAAGTTCACCAAAGAACCTCTGTGTTGCTCTGGAAATCCAGTGCAATAATGGTGCAGTTTTTGTGGCTGGTAAAGTGATCCATTTATTTTCTGCTGTGTTGCCTTAAACATAACTTCATAACACTGCCACGAGACCCAGAAGATTCTTGCTATTTGTTGATTCCTGTAATTAAGTATAAGGAGCAAAGAAACAAATCTGGCTCTATCTAAGAGTGGACTTTGTTTGACAGGGGAAGAAATTATACTTGCCTTTGCTGAAGACATGATTTTGTGAAAAGTTAGAAATTACAGATCAACACGCTAAAATCAGAACTATTTGCCTGTTCTTACGTTGTGAATTTAAACTTGGAGGCTGTGTGGTGGAGATGGTTGAAGAGGAGTGGGAGCTGGAGACAGCTGTGTCAGGGCCAAGGTCGGGTTCCCATGTTAGGAGCTGCAGGAGGGGAGCATGTCACTTCTGCTGCTGCCAGTTGTGCACACACCTCCCTTCTGGATATTTGGGAAGATCCTGCTTTTCCTTGCCATTGTTTTTCTTTTGCTTTGAGAGATGGAAGAGTTCCCTCTCTTGTAGAGACAGCACAGGATGATGTGAAGATTTAAAACAACTGTCTTTGTGCCCCTGCTCATTAAGGGGGCTTGTCCAGAAGCGGTTTAAGAAACAAAGAATTTTGCCCTGTTGTCAAAGCTTGCTCTCTCCTTCAGAAAACCTTTATCCCTGCAAATCCTGCAGTTGTAATATGTCCACTCATAGTAAGCACAAGGTTTGGGAAAGGCAGTTCCGCACTAAATAAGCTCCCAGCAGTGCTGTTCCCTTGCTTGGATTTTGATTTGGATTCAGAGGTTTTCACCATCTGGATTTATCTGCATATTATTCCTCCAAAACTGCCAATCTTAGTGGGATTAATAAAGGTTAAATTTTAGAAAGCTTAGCTCTTTCTAGTTCCCTCCTCCAAACCCAGAGACAGTGTCCGAAATAATTGGGTGAGACAGGTAATGCAACAACACCCGGTGTCCCTGAGTTGAGATGATTCAACTTTTCTATCGCTTGCCTGCAAGAGTATCTCCCCTTCCCCTAGTCCTGTGTATAAACAACCACTTATTTAAATATATGCAAACAGATTATTTTTAAAAACCCTACAATTTTAGTCCAACATACTGTGTTTAAAAGGGTGGTACAAATCCTGACTAAAGGAAAACATAGAATGAAAAGTAAAAATGCAAAAGTGAATGTTCTCGTGGCAGCTTAGTCGGTGTTCTGTACATACCTGTTTCTTATTTTGAATTACTGATTAGACAGTTAGATGTACACTTTCATGAATCCAAGATATCCAATGTTTTTTAGCCTTTTCCAAACACACTGTTTTATTTTAGGTTCCTTTGTTGGACGGTCTTATCAGAATTCACCTGTATGGAGAAGGAGACAGAGGGTTAGCTTTCTGCATGTGATTTAATACTGGTTTTGCAATTTATAGCTTGTTCCAAACAAAACAAAAAAAAAAAACCCAGGCAGGATGTTGTCTTTAATTTTTGAATAATTTATTGAGTACAGTGCAGTTATTTTGTTATTACAGCAGTTTAAATGAGACGGGATCTTAATTTGTAAGCACAGTTTCAGAGTTGGTATTGCCCTCTTGACCTTACCTTTGGTGTTCACTGAACGCTCCCTCCCCCCCCCCCCCCCCAGCTTTTTTTTAAAGCTTCAGGAGAAGCTGTCAAACCGAGAAACACCTTCTGTTTTTTTTAACCCACTGTTGTTCAGAGCAAAAGCTAAAAATATTAGAATGGGGAGTTGAGAGAAGAGAAAAGAAAAAAAAAATCATTTTCCTCTTTCCATTTTATGGAAAGAGAATTTAGCAGCGTGAAGCTGACTTCTGACTGATTAGTCACGGTACTTTCATTACTTGCCCCAGTGAAGCGGTATTAGTCAGTTTCCCCGTTTGTTTGTGTGGGTTTTTCTGCAGATCAGAATGCAAGCAGGAAACATTGTTAGAAATAGGAAAATATGATACTGAAAACCAAAAAAATGGAGATGACAGAGGCAGAGTATAATACGCGTAGCTACTTTGAACTCCTTTTTTATTTTCTACATGCAAGGTTTCAGATTGAAACTTGTTTGTGCAGGGGGGTTACGCGTCGTTCTTTATGAATGAGTTCCTTGGTTTGTGCCTATTTTCACTTCTTATAAAACCTGTCAATAAGAAAGCTCATCTTGGTCATCCATGTCAGACTTGTTCTTTGTTTATAGCAGTCGTGTCACAGGAGATGGCATGCTAGTGTGACATAACACGAGACTATGACTGGAATCAGTCAGAGGATGGCAATCTCTTTACATGGCAGCTTTCCAAGGTTCTTGAGATTTGTGCTAGTTTATTCCTGAGACATTTTGCTCGCATGGCTTTCCTTGTAATGAGCCAAAGCATTTTAGTTCGGGTTTCTTTTGTTAAACGTTCAGACAATGGCAGAACTTGGATTGAAACCTGAACTACTTGGTACAGGGGAGTGTGGGAACTTCTTCACTTGGGACATACGTACATTGGTGGACAGGCATATATGTATAGCATTAGTTTGGTATATGGGAGGCTGGTTAAAGACCGTGGTCTGGTTCAAAAAAATAATTTTTCCATTTGGAATCAAGTTGTCTCAAACCAGGCACTTGAACCTCTGGGTTTTCATTCCCAGCTGTGTCAGGCTATATACAGTTTTGTTTCTGTGGTTATACCTGAAGGTATGACTGCAGCAACTGGCTCTCTAAGTCTACCTTTAAGCTAGCCATCTCGGATACTGAAACTCTCATAGGTGCAGCAGCATGCATTTCATACTGTTGCTGTAATGCTCTTGCCATAAAACAAGTTTAAGCCTGTAAATTTATTTTCACAAGGCTCCGATGAAAGTTAAATGTATTGTGCTGTGCAATACTGGAGCTTTTGTCCATTGCTTTAGAATGATTACAGCTAACATAGTTGTTTTTTACAGGAAGATACAACAAATATTCAAGGAATTTACCTCAGACTCCCTGGATTATTGATGGGGAACGGAAGCTGGAATCTTCAGTGGAAGAACTGATTTCAGAGCATCTAATGGCAGAATTCAAAGCAGACAGTAAGTATCTAGGAGATCTTTTACCATATATATTTTTCATCATTACTAGAATATTTTTCCTTAGTAGCTACTAACATAATATAAGAGTATGAGGGAAGAAAACATGTTTCTTTATCCCTCTCTTATCCTTCTAAGTCCAAGCTTGTAAACTTTTTTTAGCTGTGATCTGTGAGTAATTAGATGACTGCTTTGTTTTATGCAGCGTCTTTTATCCTTCTAAAATACCTCCTCAGTTGATCTGATGATGCAAATATTACGGTTTTATGTGGTAGTATTTTTGCCTAGCCATACTTCTTAAGAATTGGTAATTCTAACATGACTTGTAACAAGAAGGTTTTTGCCATCAGTGTTCCATAATATCTGCCTAGCCTTCGACCCCTTCATGTTTCTTACCTTGATTAATTTATTTTCTTCAGTGCATAGAGTTCCACAAGCTAAATGCTTATCCAGGGATTTTCCAGATGAAGTAATCACCGCCCATCATTTGTCATCTACTGGATGTAGAATTAGAGACGTAGAAGGCCCAACGAAAAATCGCATTAAATATTAGTTTGGAAAAAACAGCTACTTTCCCCTCCTCTCCTCCCTCCTCCCAGTGGATACGTTAGTCTGAACACTAGGAAAATCCTCAAACCATGTCTTTAGGTATTGTGTAACACCTGATTTCAGCTTGCAGAATTACCACAAGTGACTACCAGAAATGCAGGTGCAGTAATGTTGAGAAGAGACATAAACTAATAGAAAGACCATTGCCAGCAGGTCAAGGGAGGTGATCCTTCCCCTTTACGCAGCACTGGGGAGACACATCTGGAGGACTGGGTCCAGTTCTGGGCTCCCCAGTACGAGAAAGACGTGGACATACCAGAACGAGTCCAGCAAAGGGCTGTGAAGATGATTAAGGGTCTGGAGCATTCCCAACCAAGAAAATTCTGGTAGTATGACCAAAATACGCCTTCATGACCGTGGCAGATGGTTATGTAGTTGCCATAATATGACCAGAGAAATGAGAGATAATAAAAACGGAGGAGATCTTTATGCGTGCTGTATGTTCCCTATGGAGGAAAAAGTTTTGAAACCATCAGTTTTTCAGAGACGCTTTGGAATAGCGCTGCAAAGTTACCTCTAGTGCAGGGTTTGGTCCCCTATTCCTCCTTCAGGCAAAGCTTAAAGGTGGAACGGGGATGATGAAGGAAACTAAATACCCAACAGTACTTTTCTGTAGCTTGAAAGATGAGAAAAACAAATACACAGAGGTTACTTTTCAGTTTGGACTTGAGTTTTCTTCCTCTTTTGTCCAGGTGTGTGTGACTAGCAGAAATTTCTCTGAAATCTTTGGAAACCATTGGGTGTATTTAGGATAAAAAGCTGTGGTTTGGAGGAAGACAGCTCAGTTTGATTTTATTCACAGACTTGAATTAGCTGGGTAAGAAATGAACAAAATTAATTAGTAAGTGGAATTCATTTAGGATGGTACTGCTTTTTTCCGGACATTTTCAGGGTTGTCGCGGTCACGTTCAGGCCAAGGAACTAGGAGTGCTCTTCGAGGAACTTGTGAACCTGATGCAATAAACAATAACTATCCCAGATTTTTTCAAATACAGTGCAGTTTTCATTTTATAAAGATAGCTCTTCAAAGTATATCTGCAAACACAAATAAGTTTAGAAAGAAAATATTTCACTTTTTAAAAGCTGTAGAGAGTATTAAAAATGTAAAATAAAATCTCACCTCCCTTGTTCAAATCTGTTATAGGCTTTAATTTTTCTTCCTCTGGAAGAGAAGATGTGGATGTAAGAACGCTAGGCAATGGTAAGGCTTGGAACATCCCTTGTGAAACACAGAAACCAGCAAAATGATTAACTGAAGCTGAGTGCATAAGTGTGTGATTAGGCATGCTTTGAAATTTTATCTCGGAAACATTTTAGTGATATCTATGTATTTATTCCCAAAGACCGAACAGTTTCATAAAACCAACTGAAGGAGCAGCCCTTTTTCAGTGTCCTTGGCTGCACGGATGCATGGAAGTGCATAGCTTGTCAGGAGTATTTTATTTTACTCACTTCCTATTTTTAAGCCATTTATGTCAGACTGGTTCCTATCTTGTTTTCCGTTGGGTCCTTCTGCTTTGCCTCACTGTCACTGGGGAGCGGGGAAGCCTTATTTTCTGTTTGAACTTGGGTCCTTTATAAAGGTCAGTTGCTTTCCAATATGCTGAAGCTACTATAGCCAAAGGAGAAGGGGAAAGAAAAAATAAAAATTAGCAATCATGTGTTCCAGTTGCTGTCTGATTTGTAGCCTAGTTCTTGGCATTGCTTATACTGGGGATCATCTCTGGCCCTGAGCACAAAAAGTGCAGCTATTGCAACAGATGTTTAGCTGAGGGAGCGGGATTTAACATCATCTTGCACCTGGGCATTGCTGTAGGTGACAGAAAATAAGCTAATTAGCTTTTTTTTCTTATTTTATTTTTTAATTAGCACAGACTTGTACAAGATGTCTTCTGGGAAGTCGTAATTTGCACTTATTGCTGATACTGGGGTTTAGTAGCCAAAAAAAGTCCCTTGTTTCTTTCCTTCCATCTGATGCTACATCCCTAAACCCACAAGTCCTATCCCTGTTTGCATAACAGCAGACAATCTTCACACCTTCCAACCTTACTGCATAAATTCAAACGTTAATTTAGAACAACATGTTTTTATGTTTTATGACTGTGCATGTTGCCAGGAAGGCCCTTTGCAATTGAGCTTGTGAATCCTCGTAGAATACGTTTTACTGCTGAGGAAATGAAGGGACTTCAGCAGGTAAATCATTTGCACCTCATGGAACTCGTAAAGCATGTGTTTCTTCTCTAACTGAGCAGTTTTGCTAACTGATTCTTTTTTAAATATCACAGACAATTAATAACTCTTCAGACAAAATACAGGTTCGAGATTTACAGCTTGTCACCAGGTCAGTATTTATCATCACTGGCAAGGGATTTCAAAGTGATGCTTTGGGAGTTTTGCAAGCGTTCTTGCTCACAGCGTTATATAATTATGCTTATGTTATTTATGTTATATGAGTAATTAATTTCCTTTGTTTAGAGAGGCAATTGGTCGTATGAAGGAGGGTGAAGAGGAAAAGACAAAGACCTATAGTGCCTTAATATGGACAGACAAAGCAATACAGAAGGAAGATATTGCATTTCTAGATGATATCAAGGTATCTGCTGCTCTTTTTGCTAATTTAGATAGTACCTGTCCTGGTGTCTTAGGGGAGAGTTTATCTACGTGGACCCACGGACATATCTCTCTCTCTCTGTGTTTGGTGGGTTTTTTTCATCAGGGTTTCTCTTGCTATAGGGACTTTCATACCTCCCTTCCCCCTTCTCATCCTTCCTTACTTCACCATTGTCAGGCTAGCGTTATAGCTGGCTGGCTGTGAGCCAAGACAACAAACTGTTGTATAATGTTGACCTTCCAGTAGACAAAGAATAAGAAGTAGTGAATGGGAGAGGAGGAAATCTGGCACCCACACCCCTTTCTTTACCTTAGGTAGTGTTTTGCGTAAGTGGAAGGAGCAGAGGTGGTCTTTTGTCCTGCAAGCTCTAAAGCCATTCTTCCACGCTGCAGCAATTAGGAGTTTGAAATGTCTATGGAAAATAATGCAGAGGCCTTACAAAGTGCTCAACGTAACAAGCCACGCTGTCTTAATGAGAACTTTCTCCCAAGTGTTGGTCAGAGGGGTACTGCTGATGGAGAAGTGTGTTCCGTTTTTGTTGTGTTGTACCACTTCCTATGGGGCTTGGCCATGAAATCATTCTCAAAGCGTGAGCCATTACAGTTCAGGGAGACAACTGTTGTGAAGCTTTTTTAGCATGCCCACTCACTTCCTGAAAAGTTGCCTTTCAAACTGCTGCATCTCATTTGGGAAAGGGGGTGGGGAGTGAACTTTTAAAAAGACTGTTACGAGATCTAATCTCATTTCGGGTTTTTTTCCTCGCTTTTATTTCTAGGGGGTTGGCTGTAGTTTAGACAAAGCATTTTGTGGGTGGGATTTTTTGGGGTTTTTGGTTTTTTTTTTTTTATTGTCCGGCTCTCAGTTTTAGACAAAGCATTTTGTGGGTGGGATTTTTTGGGGTTTTTGGTTTTTTTTTTTTTATTGTCCTGAGGCTCTCAGTGAGCTTCTAAATCCTGGAGTCATTCCAGCAAAGGACTATGGAGATTTCAAGGTTATTCCTCTGTATTTGTGATTCCATTAGTTTGTGTTCATATGAGGCCTTCTCATTTAGCCTCCGAGATGGCTGTCCTTTTTTCCTTTGATAAACATGGAAAAAATGAGTCTTGCCTCAAGAAGATTACTCAACTACCATAATACAATATAAAAAAGATGTGATTGGTTAACAATACATATGACTCTTACAATCTGTGCAGTATGTTGCACATTTCCTTCCTCATTTATTTTGTTACCTCTTGTAACAGGAATTAAAACTTGACCAGAAGACACCTCTCCGGGTTCTTCACAGGCGGCCTTTAGCTGTAAGATGTCGGATCATTCACACCATGCAATCTGAGTACATAGACGAGCATCATTTTCGCCTGCATCTGAAGACTCAAGCAGGAACGTATCCTTAGATGCCGTTACACAACGCATTTACGAAACAGCTTGCTGGTTAGAGTAATTTGGGTAATGGGAAATTTCCTGCTTTTATCGCTGCGGTGTTTCTAAATCCCCGCTCTTCAGCAGTCATATGTTGCTGCATAATGTTTGCTTTCGTGTCAGAATTTCACATTCAGGCTTTCATTCAAAAATGCTGCCCGTGTGTATGTATTTTTGTGATGACCAGTCTGATAGTTTTAAAGTATATGATAGCTATAAAAATGTACCGGTTAAAGATATGCTTAAGCTTTTTCTGATTTAACTGAAAACTTTTCACCTTAGAAAATAAGCTTTTCCACAATATTTAATGCACCGCAATGCATACTGTAGATTGCTGCTACTTACAAGTTAACAGTCTTGTCATAAAGTCACCGCTCGCTTTGGAATAAAACAGAAAATACAGGTCGATAGTGCAGTTTTTGGCATTAGAGTCAGAAGCCAAGAATTAGGATGTCTTTTAAAGATGGGTATGGGCTTAACAGGACGTTCGCTGCAAATTGGAAAAAGACGCTATTTTTGCTTTGAGCGTTTTTCACCATACTCTTTTTTTTTTTTTTTTCCCCTTTTGATTTCTTTGTGGTGAAATACACCTTTCCTTAGCCAGTATTCCTAGCTACATTAAAGAATTTGTGCATGGAGACTTTGGAAGAACAAAGCCCAATATTGGCTCCCTACTGAATAGAACCGCCGACATTCTGGAGCTGGATGTAGAAGTAAGTTGTTTGCCATTTATCTTTCCTGGAAATCAGTAACGTAGTTGCATTTGTGAGATGGTGGAATTGCTCTAATCGAATCAACGTTCCTTACCACAGTTAATAGAAAAATTGATGTTAATGCAACAATAGTGGTTTGTACCACGCCGCCACATGTGACAGGCTTCCTTTGCTGAATTCATGCCGGGGAGGGATGGGAGGACATACCGTGAATTGATGACACTTATTATTAGCACCCAGTGGAACAGAGCTTAGCAAGGCTACATGTACCACATCAAGCAAGGCTACACGTACCACATCATTGCTTTTCAAAACCAGGTCGGGTGAAAAAGGAGAGATTTTGGCTTCCTGTTCCAGTGCTGGTTCAAACACAGCAAGAAATTATATCTGTTCACTTGCTGGAGTCAGATGAAAAAACAAAATTTGTTTTGGTTAAAAGAATGTACGTAGAGATATGGATTTAATATTTAACCTAGTGGTTTGGCAAGGTTTATTTAAAATGTGGGTTTTCATTTCAAGTAGCCAGTCATCAACATGCTCGTTCTCATGTATTTCTGGAAAGCTGCCCGTGTTACATTTTGCCGAAGAGACTTGCAGTTTTTTGCCTGTCTTTGGTGGGATAATACAGAAAGAGAGCTTGCAGAGGGCACTTCTGTTACTTCTGAAAACAGGAACGCCTGACTTGGGGCTCGGGCTGATGAGCATCGCTCTCGTATGGATAGATGTCACTACAGTTATTGGGCATAACTGTGAAAGAAGTCTAGGGACTAGAAAATAATTAGTCATGTTGCTAACGATGCATTTTAGCTCAGCCTAAGAGCCTAATCCTTTGATGAAGTTGTAGATTAGGCAAGGAGTAGGTATGATTAATGCAGGCAGTCTTGAAGCCAAGACTGCGTTTAACATGCCGTGTTGCGATTGCAAATGGTGATACTACGGTAGCGTAGGGTGTTCTGCTTTTGGAAGTGGGTGAGCAACAAGTTTATGCCCAAAGGGAATTGGAGATGTGGCCTCAGGGAGGCCAGGGAAGAAAGACATAATCCAAGCTGTAATTACAACATTTGCTTCTAATAAAGTGTCAGGCATGTTTTGTCCCTTTTGACTAACAGTCAGGATGACTGTTAATGATGTTGCCTAGATAATTCTTGCGCATAATGCTTGACAGCTTATTCTTTTAGTCTAGTTTTCCTTGCTCAGGAGGCAGGTTTGGGGACAGGTGATGGTTTTCTACTTGAACCTTGCCTGCGCTGCCCAATACCTGAGTATTTCTGTGGCATCAATCAACAAGTTGTTTGTTTTCACATCGTAACGGCCCATCTATAGGATGGGTAGAAGATGGAGGTGGTTCACGTTTCTAATTAACAGTCCTGGACACTCGCAAATGTAGCCCAACGTCAAATGACGCTGGGAAGTAGTAGTACAAGGAGTTGTGACTCTGCTTTATGAAGGAAACCCAGCTCCCAGAGAGCTCTCGGCAGGCACACATGGCATCACTAGAAGGTGGCTGTTTCATGCCACTGTCTCCTGCTTGCCTTGTCCCCTGTCTCTTATTTTGGCGTCCTTTACTCTGTTTCTTTACACTATTAGCCTGTAGCTGACAAGCATAGAGTTCTGACAGCAAGTCTCTTGATATTTTGCATATATAAAGTCTGCTGATTTTGCTTTTTTTCCCCCCCCCCCTTCCCTGCTCTTCTAGTCTGTTGATGTTGACTGGCCTCCAACATTGGATAATTAACTTTTCAAGTTGGGACGAGGAAGAAGCAGCAACTCTGTCAGCAGCTGGTTACTGAACGCTGTACAGTATTACAGCTTGGTTGCAAAGTATTTCTGTTGAACGTTTGGATCATGTTGATCTGCCAAAGGATACTGTTACTTTGAATCGACTTTAAACACTCTGAAACAGGTAGTGTTCGTTCAATCTCTAGCCTTATTTTAATTTCTTCTGCGCATAAAAAGATTTTGGTAAGCTAGTGTATTGATAAGTCGTCTTTTTAAAAAACAATTGAGAAAAAGATAAATGGTGTAACGTGCAAATGGTGTACTGAGCAAGTACATCAAATGTGCAGTAGTTTTTAATTAAAACATTTTAAATAACCCTCCCTCAAGCCAGATGGTTTTAACTCTTTTTATATTGGATGCTGCAGCTTTCTTGTCTGGATGCAGGTAGCACTGAGTTACCTGAAACCCAGTCCTAACTTTTTCTGAGCACTGTTCGTGCAGGAGTATTTCCCAAAAGTCAGGGAGTCTCTGAAACCAGTAGGCTAGTGCTTGGAACGAGGCAGCACTCTGCTCTCTGCTGACTGCTTTTTGGGCAGCGTCAGTTTTAGAGATGGGTAAATTTGTCTCCCAGACAAAGCACTTTTCAAAGGGAAAAACAGTTTTCAGAGGAAAACTTTGCACTTGAAACCAAGCTTTTCTCATTTAAAAACATCAGCAATGCTTCCTAGAAACAGCAGTTGAGGCACTCGAGGCCTCAGCAGCTCTCTGGCCTGATTACAGTCCTCTTCAGGCATAGGATTTCCCCAGTTGAGTCACTGTATATAAAAAGATTGGGAACTCCTGGCAGTGGTGCACGATGGAAATCTAAAGAAAAATAGGAATACCAAGAACCCCAAAGTACAGGCAAATACGAGATGTACTGAAGAATGTTGGTATTGAAAGAACAAGTCAGAGATTAAAAAGCTTTGGTTTGTAGCATAGTACGTATTTTTTTCTAGTACCCAACCTTGGATGGATGCCTGGAAGAGCTGAACATTGCCTAGGAACTTGCCTGGAATAGGGAAGACCTGAGGTTTTTTTTTTTCCTTTGCTTGTGTTATTTTAAATGTTTCACACAAAGCAGGGGCTGCGCTGCAGGATTATTTTTGTTTATTAGCCAGGTCCCACCACCTACATCTTTAGGAGAAGCCACTTTTATGCCTCTATCATGTTAATCCATTAGGAAGATGCTTCTGCTCAGCTGAAGTACAGAAGAGAGTTAAACTATCGACAAGAAATTAAGGGTTGGAATTTAAGGGCTCTTCATTAATTACCACTTCAGAAATAACGAGGGTAATATTTGCCAAGACAAACCACTGTTTGGGGACAGGGAGGATTACTGCAACGTCTTACCTTCAATTCAGTGGTGCCAAGACCTCATAATAGAACAGCTGCACGGTAACTTTAGCTGAAGGCTCAAAAAGGCATTAATAAATACGTTTTCCAAGGAGGTCCTAAAAACTGATCTTGAAAAATTAGTCTAAATATTATACACTCTGCCTGTGATGAGCTGTCAAAACTTGTCTCTCGTCATTTGTTTTCCTAGTCAACTGTAACATAAGTATGGCAGTAGTTCAGAAGCTCCTGTTTTTCTAACACAAAATACATGATTCAGACAGCAGTATTTTTTTTGGTTTTAATCTTAAAGCTGTGATGAGCAACAGATTCCAGGAATAGTTGTCTCAGATAATAATCTGTACCCAGAAAGGAAGTGTCATGAATGATGGAAAACTTAGGAAACCAAATTCAGAAAACAAACAAAAGAGAATTTCAGTCTCGTATCTATGTGATTTCTTGAAACTCAAAGTGAGCTAAAATACAATTTATAAATTCCATAAACTACAGGGGAAAAAAAAAATGTAAACAAGACTGCACTATGGACATGACAGACATGAGAAGAGCTGTTCCAAGGGGGAAATAGAGCTAACAAGGCAGAAGCAGAAAGGGCTCCGGCTCCTGTCGTAGTGCAAGGATACTCAAGGTGCTCCCATCCGCAGCTCTTTCTGCAATATGTTGTACGTTATCACGGTGACAGTGGAGATCATGTTAAAAGCCAAAGTGCAGATAAACAAGGCTATAAAGATTACACTAAATGTGCTGAGTCTAATCTCTTCTCCGTACAACGTAGAGAGGTCCACCAAAAATTCCCAAATTGCTTATTTTTATGAGAAATGTGAAATATCCAAATGAGGGGGGGAAGAAAAAAGCGCTGATGATGCAAACATCTCTACAGCTCTTTAGTTACTGTTCAGTGATCATGTGAAAATATGAAAATGAGCGAGGTAATCTGTTTTTTGAACTTTGTTTAAAGTCTGCAGTTTCTAATACAAGGTAAACGCTTTGAACTATCTTTATCTGTAATGAGTATTGCAGCAATAATATTAATGTTGTACTTTGGCCTTCATCTTATTTTTAAAAGTAAAATGCCTCCTTGTGAGTACTCAAATAGGACGGTTTTGTGAAAATAAGATCTAATCTTGTTCATGAGACGTGTGAAAAAGGTAGATATTTTCTAGCGCATTGTGTGAAAAATACTAAAAAATGTGGTCCGGTGCTCCTTAGCACCATCCTTCTTTGCACTGGAAGGACTCAACGTAAAGCCGTTGTATTTCTCCCAACAATTGGTCACCCCACACCCCCCCATTTTTTTTTTTTGCATCAGCTTAGCTGAACCTGGAGAAAGCTGTACCAGTAGCACAGCTCTAGCTGAACGTGAAAGACGTCTGTCCTAAAAAGTCGACTTCAGTCCCTCTGACTAAAAAGTCGACTGCTCTGCCACAAAAAAACTGCTGAGCGCAGGTGAACGCTTACTGCACACGTCGCTTTAGGTTTTGTAGTGGCCAAGAGTACTTGCGAGCAGAAAATACTCTCGAAAGCCCCAGGGTAAGCGACCCATAACCTACCTTCTCCCAGTTCTCTGGCTGTCCTGCGGTGAGGGATGTCATGAGTCTGAGAAGGTTGCAGAAGCTGAGTACTTAGTATAACCAGTTTTTTAATTACCAAACCAACTCGTTTACAAAGGAAAACAGAACCTTGAAAATATTTAATTATACAGTAAAAACAAATTGTACTATAAAGAGCTTTCTATGAAGTGAGCAAAATGTTTGCATTTAATATACTTAAAACTGAGAACTTCAAAACAGAACTGAATAAACAACACATTTCAAGCTTACTTTATATTTCTTTGGTCTTTCGCTTACTTAAGCTGCAGAGGAGCGATGCAGAAGTGAGGAAAAACTGCTTTAAAGTGTGGGGAGCCAATTCGCCGCGTTGTGCACCTGTGAGTTAGGGGAAGCAGTTTTTCAAACTTCGTACGTTCTACACATTTTCTAAGGAGCATATTGTGCCAAACCTGTGTAACTGGCGTAATGCATTACAGCAGCAGCACCTTACTGCTTTGAATGCAGTGAATTACTGCAGTTAAGGAGTCATTGGTTGCCTATAAACCGCGGAGGTTTTTTCGGAGTCCCCTTCTGCCTTGCGTACAACTGTAAGTCTCAAGTGGCTTTTTTGATTTAGGGTTGCGGGTTTTGTTTTTCTTCTGTAGCGGAATGTGCTTTTTTTTTTTATTGCTTCTTTCCATCGTTTCCAAGGATTGCTTCTTTCAAGTTTTATGTTGCCAAACAGCAACGATTAGATTCTGAAGCCTTATCTGCCATACAAAACAGCTGTATAACTTAAGAAATACTCACATATTTCTTGCTCTGTTACTTCTTAAAAAATAATAAAGCCCTATGTCACAGAGTAGAGTGTCTTACCTAGCCAGTTAAATCCAGGCGAGTTGTCACCGAACATCTCGCAACTCAGGCTAAGAATGAAGACTGGGAAGGAAGTGAAAGGGAGTAAGTTCCCGTTTCTGACGCAGAGTATAGAGGAGTGTTTTTAATTAGTTCTGACTGAAATGGCCTTAAATTGTTAATACAGTGTATCTAGATGAGGCTGCACTAAGACTGCCTCCAGGTTTGCCTCAATGCTTTCTGGGGAGGGGACGGCAGGGTGGGAGGGGATGGCAGGGAGGCAGGATCTGAGCCTTCTCTTAAGCAGTCACTTGCATAGCAGGAAACTGCCGGGATACCTGAGGGAAGATGATGTAGATGCTTTGGCTCAACGTATTTCTGTAGTTCAACATAACATACACGTCACAGCCACACACACACACACACAAAATTCCACAGAAATAACAGCGTGCTCCATTCCTAAAGCAACGGGGGTTTATCATTTAAAAGAGTACACTTTGGATGAAGTGCAGAGAAGTCCTTACTTTCTTGTTCATTCTTTTGTGCAGTGATTAATTTACAACAGCACTGGGCTATTTAAAAACCTCAAACCTTCCGGTCTTTTAAAAATATACCTAACAATGACATAGTCATTAAAAAAATTTTAGAGTAAATTTGCCTTCAAAGCAAATGGAGAGTGGTGAAAACGTGAAAAATCAATGCATGATCTTGTTTTAGGAGAAGAGTATTTTATACGAAAGAGGGCAGGAAACCTAAACCTTCCAGGTAAGTCAAGTAAAACTTTAACACTGTTAAGCGAGTCTGAACTAGAGTGCCCATATGCAGGTTTTTTTCCTAATTTCTGTCCTATCAAAATTGAAATTTCATTTCCATAGCAAAAATGGTTATTTTTCAAACAATTTTAAGCCTGTGAAGTATTTGAGATTTTAACCCTTCTGAAGGTGCCAGCTTTTACAGTCCCCAAAGGTAAGGAAGATATAAGTGTTAACAGTTCCCTTTTCCAACAGCGTAAAAATACGTATACAAGGTGATTTTAAGGTACAGAGCCCCAAACCCTACTCTCACCTCTCTTCTTTACGGGCACCGGTCTTTGGGCTTTAATACATAACCTTGTCATATCACGAAACTCGCATAGTAACATTCTGAAAGAGAAAGCAGGGACTCCAGAAGGGTAAGTTACTCCTCTTCACACAGCTAGCCATCTGAAAAGCTCTACGTACCCGCTTTCCAGCCTGACGGGCTGGCTCAGTGGTTATAGTTTTGCAATATGTTATCGAATTGGAAAGACTGATAGAGCTCATCAGTGTGGACACCGTCGGTGTCATAGTACTGGTTATCTGCAATGCTATTCTGATGGTTCTGCATCGGGTTGGTGGATAGTCTTGATTCGCTTAAAACTTCTTGGTCTATAAAATTGTAAACTGCTGGATCAGCTAAGTTAGACTGCGAATTAAAAGGCGTGCTGCCCGGGGCTGCTACAGACGGGCAAGCTGGAGGCACCTGATGGAGCTGCTGCCTGTGGTTGCTTGCATTTAACACTGGATTATACTTTTCGAAGTTTATACTAGTGCAGTTCATGTCATCGGTCTCCATGTTCACGATGCTGGCTGTGGAGACGCTGGCGGGATGAGCCTGGTGCACGATGCTGTTACTAGAAACGCTCTGCATGTCTGCAGTTGACACCGCCACTGCTCCCATCCCGTTGGTGCTGCCGAAATTCCGGTAGAAGCCTGAATCCTTCTCATCGGGCCAGTTCAGAGGGTTGTCGTGGAAAGCTGGGAGAGAGCCGCTGCCCTGAGCGGCAGGCTGAGGCACATCTGCCCCAAAGCTGTTCTGTGGGTGCGCATTGAGCAGGCTGCCGGCTGAGGAGGGGGTGCTGTACAGCTGCTGCCAGCACGAGGAGAGCGTGTCTTGCTTCCCTGGCCCCACCTGCACGGGCTGATGGGGAATCTGGTTGCAGACAGGGTAGATCTGACTAGCGTTGGCCAGGGTTCCTAGCCCCGGCATCATCAGTGCGGATGAAAACATGTTTGGTTCTATGGAAAGGGAAAGACGTGACTGCATTTTAATGCCGCTTTTTGTATTTTTTTAAAATGACAAATGGTAAAAAGCGAAGCAAAACCAGTGCTATCTTAGTAAGATTATACGTGCATTTGCACTTTCGTACTTGCTTAACTGCTCTCCAGGGTGGACGCTAGATTTCTGGACAGCAGCAAGACAGCTATCCGCCTCACCCCTCTATGGCAAACGCTGAAGGTGACAGCTACGTTTAAGTGGAGAACTGATGGTTTTAGGTCGTACAGTCAAAAGTACCAGTATCTTACAGGAAGAAACCCTCAAGGGAGTATTAGAATTTCAAGCAAAGAGGAGGGAAGGCCAGGAACTGAGCGTACGCTGGAAGGGCCGAGTATCTCAACGCAGAGAAAAGGGGTAGTTATCTAAATTAAGGCTGAAAGCTAGCGAAATGCTTAAAGATGAAGAAGGTGTAGCCCTCTCCTGTGCAAAGGGGAAGTTGCAGCACGGCTGAGGCTTGGAGGAGAATCCGGAGGAGGGAAAGTAAGAGACGGGTGCTACTGCTGCCTTGGGAACTTCAGTGCCCCCCCCTGAAAAACCCCCTTCCCCACAGCAGTCAGGCAACTATTTGTTTCAAACCGCTGTCGGATTGGGACAGGCGTGCAGAATCCTACCTTTCTTGATCAGCTTCCCTTCAGGAGTGACAGCCGGGAACGGAGCTACTTTGGGCCTCTCTGCTGCGTTTGTTCCTGGGATGGAAGAAAGCACGAGTCTACACTGAATGTTTGCTTTTATATAAAAGAACTCCATCTAAATCTAAGTTCACTCGAACAAGAAAGAGACAAGTATTTTTCCTTACCACAGTCCTGTATGAGCTTTTGCCAAGCCAGCGTTGATCTTTGCCTTTTTGCTTTGTTGCCATACGGATCTAGAGAGAAAGGAGTAGAAGGAAAAAGCGTTAAGTTTCCCTTTGATAATTGTAGTCAATTTTAGTAAAATACATTTAGAGAAAAATATTTCAGACATGACAGTACTAACCAAGACAATGTTATTAACGGCGATTCTTGATATTTTCATTGAAAGAGGGAGCAAACTGACTATTGTGGCTTTTGAAACCCCAAAATCTACTTTGTAGAAGTAGCGTTGTGAAATTTTTCCTAGTTAAGCTACTGTTTATTATCAACACGAGTTCTGCACTGCTAACGGCTTTTCAGAAACTCGGCTAATTGGAACCGTACCCTTTTCATCTGGTAGGTATCGGAAATCCATAGGTTCACTGACTTCCTGGTCTGAAGGTCTTCGCAGCTGCATCTTCACCGTGACGGGCTCGGTGATGTCTTTGAGAAACGGCGGCGTTCTGAACACAATTGCAACTTGACGGTGAACGTCAGCTTGTGAGAAGGAACCTTTGGCCTCCCAGTTGTCCAAGACAAATCTGACTTCTATATCATCTAGTCCATTAGAAACAGAAGATGCTTGTTAAGCCGGAAACTGAAAACTTGCAGCAGAAAAAAAGGGAAGGGGAACAAGGAGAGGAGTCTGACTCAGAATTCAGGTGCAAAGTAAATGGCTCGACTTTAAAGGCACCGAGTATCTTTCAGAGGTGCTGAGAGCCCTTGAACCTGAAAGCTGTTCTGCCCAGCTATAAAACCAGACTGCTTACACGGGAGCATGGTGAAGGGTTTAAGTTCCCCAGCTAGAAAGTGGTAGTGTCAGCCATTTGGAACAAAGGGGGGGGTGGTGGTGGTGCAGAAACCAAACCTAGTCAAGATTACCTTTTTGAACTTTGTCACACAGTAGAAATATTTCGTCTCCTCCTTTTACGCTTCCACAGTTCTTGTTCACACGACAAATTCTTAGTTCTGCTGTGTTGGGAGCTCCTGGAAACAAACAGGCCATTTGATGGTAAAGAATTCCTGTAACTTTGTCACTGTTGAAGACGAGGTGCCAAGAGTTACGGCAGGGGAAGGGAAGGCAACAGCTGGAGGAGTGTGCCACAGCCTGGACTCCACACTAAACAAGTCGCTCCCTACGGAAACTGAGAAGCGGGGCTTGACGTTCTGTGATCCTACAGCTCTCGGCCGCTCATCCCCAAACACAAGATACCAGTGCAGCTGTGCCGCTTACTCCCTGACTATCCTAGAGTAGTCTCAAAATATGTCCCCGAATGACGTTATTGTGCTCAGCGCTGCTGCCCTTCAAAGAACTGCTTTGAATTCTACAGCTTGAGGGACTGATTACCTGTTACAGTCATGCTTCTCTGGAAAAAGCTGGGCTAGCAAGTCAAGAAAATTCCCCTCTCTGAGTACCAAACACGCTTGGCCATCAAACCTCTCCTCTGTTACCCTCTCTAGGTGTTTGAGAGCAGATCTAGGAGTCTTAACTTTCATGCCTTTAACTCAGGGTAGCAGATTTCACCCGAAAGCGCTCAAAATCCAACTCCAAGCTGTGGCTGTACGTGGACGGCACTCGTGATAGTCGCGGCTGGAGAGCCGCCCCGTGCACAATCTCTGGTAGCGTTGTATGTCGCAATAAATTAACCGCCACCCAAGCCTGCACGCTGCATCCAAACAACCCGATGGCTACGGGGGACTCATGCGGGACAGAGACAAGCGCTGCCTGACGGCGTCTGGCCCCGCTCAGCAGCGGCAGCTTTCCTGCAGGGTAAATACGGACAGGAGCCTACCGCAAGAAAGAACGGCCCCCTTGGAGCTTTGTGGGCTATGCTACAATTTCTTTAAAAGGGCACTAATGTCACAATATAGCGATTCAGAAGTAACAAAGAACAAACAAAAAAAAGCCAGAATGGAAGAACTCTCTCCAGAATTTCAAGTTCACCCCCTGTGCCTATATGCTGTGTCGATACTTTTAAGTACATGAGCACATGCCAATTTCAAGACCCCGTCTTCAGCTAACGTACGAAGCAACTGACGCTCATTTTTCTGCCACCGTCTGTGACCGTATTCACGGTCTACTGCACCCTCTTCCACCCCTCCAATCCCAACAGAACGAAACTACACTGCGCTGTGATGTTCCCTCATCTTATTACATCAAGACATCAACTCCAAATGTATTTAAAACGCCAGGGAGGATGCGGCTGGTGCCGCTTTACGACCCAGGAACTGATCCTCCTCCCGCCACAGCAACAGGAGGCTCCACACCACCACGGGCTCCCTGTTCCAGGCAGAGAGATGAAATACAAAACCAAAGCTCACGGTGTCACCCTCAAAAAAAAAAAAAAAAAGACATCTACTTTAGACTCTCAATTTGAGTCAATTCCTGCCCAGTCTCTCATGGTACTCACAGGTACGCGCTGTAGCGCAACACAGACTGTGCTTAAAACAGAGCTCCTGGTAACCTCAGGCCAGACCCCAATTACGTAGTCACTATCTGCAGCTATTACTGTTGTTATTATTGGGAGAAGCGGGTGCTACAGCCTCGCTACATGACACATGCCACTTCATTTGCTGAATGAATCAGAAACTTTGAAGGGAGGGGAAACAAAACAAACAAATGAAAAAAAAAACCAAAGCTCCCGGTGTCACCCTCAAAAAAAAAAAAAAAAAGAAATCTACTTTAGACTCTCAATTTGAGTCAATTCCTGCCCAGTCTCTCATGGTACTCTAACAGGTACGCTGTAGCGCAACACAGACTGTGCTTAAAACAGAGCTCCTGGTAACCTCAGGCCAGACCCCAATTACGTAGTCACTATCTGCAGCTATTACTGTTGTTATTATTGGGAGAAGCGGGTGCTACAGCCTCGCTACATGACACATGCCACTTCATTTGCTGAATGAATCAGAAACTTTGAAGGGAGGGGAAACAAAACAAACCCAGAAACAGCACAGGATCATATGATTGACAGTGTCATGGTGCGTTTTTCACAGGAAGGGTAAATTAAGAATGGCAAGGAGAAGCCTAATTTTACCTTTGTTTCACTTCTGTATGCTCGAACGGCACTCGGTGTCCTTTTTAACAGGTTTTTGGGAAGGTCTCCTAGGCTGGGTTTTGTTGTTTTGTCTTTTATTTTAAGGGGAGTTTAGAAGGGAGGATAAAGGAAAGAAACAAATGCCAGCAGGCGTGGACGCACCGCGCTCTGCTGTCAGCCCCGGTGCCGGGCAGGAACACCGGGTTTGGCAGCAGCCTCAGAGGGAGACGTTCTCTGGGGCCTCTGTCGCGCAGACTGTGCTTAAAACAGAGCTCCTGGTAACCTCAGGCCAGACCCCAATTACGTAGTCACTATCTGCAGCTATTACTGTTGTTATTATTGGGAGAAGCGGGTGCTACAGCCTCGCTACATGACACATGCCACTTCATTTGCTGAATGAATCAGAAACTTTGAAGGGAGGGGAAACAAAACAAACCCAGAAACAGCACAGGATCATATGATTGACAGTGTCATGGTGCGTTTTTCACAGGAAGGGTAAATTAAGAATGGCAAGGAGAAGCCTAATTTTACCTTTGTTTCACTTCTGTATGCTCGAACGGCGCTCGGTGTCCTTTTTAACAGGTTTTTGGGAAGGTCTCCTAGGCTGGGTTTTGTTGTTTTGTCTTTTATTTTAAGGGGAGTTTAGAAGGGAGGATAAAGGAAAGAAACAAATGCCAGCAGGCGTGGACGCACCTCTCTCTGCTGTCAGCCCCGGTGCCGGGCAGGAACACCGGGTAGCAGAGCAGCCTCAGAGGGAGATGTTCTCTGGGGCCTCTGTCGCGCCGTGCTGCTTCCCATCTCCCCCCCGCGCACGCCCTCACCTCCCCGTCGCCTCGACTCCTGCCCGATTCCTGTTCCTCGCTCCCCAAAAGCACGTCCCTGGTAACAGATCCCTAGAAAAACGAGCTTCTCACCAAAAATCACGTCACTTTCAACAAGGGCAGAACAACACGTTCTCCCTAACCTCATTTCTCAGAAACGGTACGCCGCTTTCTCCGACTCTTCCCAAGAGTTTTCAGCGTGGTAAGATACGCAACTTGGGAAATTTCTGTTCAAAACCAGTTAACGTTATAAGCAACTGAAAACAGAAGCTGCCTGTAATACTGAATTTTATAAACTTGCGGTCTCTGCTAATGTGGTTGCCACCGTATTACGTCCGTATTATTCTTACGTACCTCCGCTATCCAAAGCGGGTGGAGACTACGAAGTATTAGAAAGTGAAGAAAACGCTAGGTTTAAAACGCGGAAGCTGATTTTCAGGAAAGCTCTGAGTACCTTTTTGCTCCTGGTCTGGACGGATCTGCGAAAGCTTGAAATCTAACAATCTAGGATTTCCAAGCCCGCTGTACCGTACGGTTTTATCTTTTATCCGAAGTTCTAACCTGACCTTACCCAGTTCTGTATGACCGAGCAGGTTTAAAAAGGCTAACATCTTAAAAAGAAATTCAAGATCTGAAACTGCTGGTCCAGGCAAGAGCAGCGTAATTTTTACGATTTGTGGTTGCAGTTATGCACTCTTTTATTTACACCGCTGCTACGTTACAGGGAGGATTTTAGACACCTATAGTATATCAGGAGCTGCCCACATACACCCACACTAAAAAACCAAGCTTCCCCACCACGCAGCTATCTGTCATTTCAGCAGCTTCGCAAAGACTGACGTCAATCAACGTAGACGAGTAATCATGATTTGGCACATTTCTAAATGGCATCTGAGACATCGCTGCAAATCTACATCAATTTGCTCTCAGCCCTAATTATTTTAGGGCTGCAAGGGTTCTCAATAACACAATGCACACGGTTCCAACTTCTAGATAATTTTAGAAGAGACTCTAAAAGTATCAAAGACACCCGAGTTCATACGCGACATTTTCATAGTGATTATGCCCACATCAACACAATTCTAACATCAACTTTATAAAATGCAGGCCTCATTTTATTCAGTAGCTTCTGCTAAAGTAGTGACCTTAAATATTTAGCGTGGAAACACTTTCACTGCAGAAATAAAAACCACTGCCAAAAAACTTCCAATTATTAAAAGCTCTTCTGCTGTTCTTCTCCAGGAGAGAAGTCCTGCACATGCTGAGGGCTGAAATCCTCAACTGCAGCGACCTGCCAAAGCCGTACGGAAGTCCAGTTTTGTGGAATGTGGCAGACAGTCCCAAGAAGGGGTGTTTCACGTACTTCTGCACCCTCCCAGAGCACGATCAAACATTCCCCCGTTACCTACCGATACACTGAAAAGGGCAACCGACCGGGATACAAAAGGGATATATAAAAGCGTTAAGGCAGGTTCCCACTGGGATAAACCTCTCTCTCGAGTCCTGCTCCAGAGCCCTCACAAGGCAAAGGCAAGACTCCTCCAGGGGTACAAACAGGCTTGCGAGGACATCCTTGGAAAAGAGCTCACAGCCTTAGGGCAGCCGTCCATCTCGCTACTACTTATCTAAATCGCTTGGCACGTCAGGAGCAGGCCTTTCCTCGCAGTCACTGCTGCGATACGCGAACAAGGGCTGAAAAAGCACCCGTGCGCGAGTCCACGGATGCGACGGACAATTCTTACTCTGGTCAGCCAACACTTCACCCCGGGATCATCTTCTGAGTATATCCTCCCTGGCTTGCCACGTGTTAGACACGCGTGTAGCAGTCCCAAACCACAGAAGTGACCCAGAAGACTGGCACGGACCTCAGAAACCGGCCTGGCATTTTTCATCCCAAGTGAACGAGAAAAACAAAGTGGGTGGGGGGGGGGAATAAGACATTTGACCGAGTGGGTACTTACTGTTGTCATAGATGGGGTTGGAAATCAAAGGAGGAAGAGCTAACGTGTAGTTGCCATGTTCGTCGGGGAGGAAAGCTTGGAAGCAGAGGCGGACAACGTTGAGATCATACTCATCGATGTTGTGCAGCTGTTCTTCAGGCACTGAACAGCAGAAGGAAAGACAAGACTGAGGATTAGTCATCAAAACCAGCAGTAATTCTTTAACAAACTGGGGATGAATCTCTGCCGGTAACAGAGATGGTGTTGCCAAGGCAGACGGAATGTGCCCATAGTCCCTGCTAGCTTTACAGGGGCTGCATGAATAAATAAAATGAAAACGGAAGCCTTTAACGCTCTCCCTTCATCAAACAAGGCTAAACTGTCCCACTTCTCCAGCTGTTTCTTGCGCCTGCTTTCCTCACCTTGCCTTCCAGACCAGTTTCGTGTATCTATAGTTTAAAAGTCATTCCCTGGACATGTTCCTCTCTCGTTTGTGCACGATAAAATTTACAAAATGAATGCCGCTGCCAAAAAGAAGTCTTTCAATAGAAGTAAGTCGTAGGACCTAGCTGAAGGTTTTCAGCAACAGTGAGAGACTTGTGCTACATATCGTTATTTTCCTCTAGAAACTGAGACGGAAAAATAATCCGAAGGCAGTTCTTGGGGCAAGAACGAAGCCGGAACACCACAAACCATCTCCCCCCTCCCATCGACATCTGTGTCACTTCAGTACCTTTGAGAATAGCGATCAGTGGTGTCTTTATGATATAATTTCATAACACAACAAGCAAACCCTTGCTGGAAAGGATCTGTTTCCCTACATATTCCTCCCAGTGTAAAACACAGTAATAATAAATAACCCAAGCTCAGCATTTCAGTTTTGTTCACTCTTCCGCTTATTTTAATTTCAGGACGTAGGACCTGGGATATCACTACCGAACATTTCACGTGCTCCCACCTTAACGGGCGATCCTGGGAAAAGCAGCCCTCTCCGAACTCGATGCTTTCCTTTAAGGTCTGACATTAACTATTACGTTGACGTTCAGTGCTAGCAAAATGAGAGACCGATTTAATTCCATTTAAGTAGAAGTACTGATAATTAAAATCATTTAAGGTGGCGCTCTTCCCCAAACTCATTCGAAGCGGCAGTTCAGCATAGTTAAGATACTCCCCGCAATTACCTGAAGTGAACATGCGCCAAGTCAACAGAACACAACCGCTCCGGTTCGCTCCTTCCCCTGCCCTTTCGAAGGCCTCTCGCAAGAATAAAAGATTAAACGTGCCTGCGATAAGAAGCCTGGGGACCACGCTGTACTGATTAGATTGCAATGCTCTGACCTTTAACATTTGTCACTGGGTTGGCCCACCCACCCTGCCGCGAGTGGGATTCCACAATGCCCACTTGAATGACTTCTTCCTTTCACCTTTTGATAGTGTGAAATAATAAACGCACTGAGCTCAGAATACTTTCCACTGGCATTTTTAGTCTTTCCTGTGCTCTGAATATCTCAGTTTCTCCTGGTCTCTGCTGTGAAAAGAAATCGAATCACCTTTCCCTTTTAAAAGTCCGCGATCCGCAATATTTCAAGACAAACGCCTCAGCGAGTACAAAACTAAGCAGCAACTACATACGTAACTTCAGGAACGTTGGTGCCCAGGGGAGTTTTGCCAGCGTGCCCTTTGCAGGTTGGTGCCTGACTGTATTGCCAGATACGCAGAGCGAAGTTTTATAATTTAAGGTACTTCATTAGCTGACCTGCTAACTTAATGAAATAGGATCTTTAGAAAACAGGTTTGGAACATGCAGCCGTTCAGCCTAAGTCAGCTTTGGCAGACTCCGCAGCCCGGCTGCCTCTTCCTACAGCCTGATTTCGAGAATAAAAAGGAGCGCATTCTCTAGGTTGCACCTTGCAGAAGGGGTAATCAGAAGAGCAACGCGCTACTTCGCTCCCAGCAGCTGAGGTGATTCTAATCCGTGCTCTGACACCACGGCCAGCGGGCAATTAGCTCTCCCAAGGACGCTCCGGCATCAAGGCTCACGCTCCTGCGTTGCGTTAGCCATCGGTGACCACGTGGATCCGGCCAGAGAGCCCAAGCGGTAGCCAAATTTCAAACCTCTTAAAAATTAAATTGAGCCTAGAGACTCAATACCTTTGTCTAAGCCAACTCCCTGTAGATAGAACCCAAGCACAACATCTGGATCCGGCTTTCGATTCTGAGTGCGAAGCGAGGACTCGGTGGTTGTGCCATCAAGCCCCTCGCTCACAGGTTCAAGCAGCGCCACTCCTGCCCCGCGTTCTCCACAGGCGCGGCAGCCTCTTCCCCAGAAACGAATAATAGCGGACTTCAAGCTTAAGAGAACTCTACAAATGCAAAAATACACTAGATGTGGGGAAAATTAGTAACGCGAATGTTCAAGTTACATCATTTCCTATACTATGAACTTTCACAAATTCCCAGTAAATCTGTTCAACCACCTGGTACGGGAAAGGTGTGGTGTGCCAATAATGGCAAGAAACAGAACTGCTGTATACAGCTCATCGTATTACACCAGAAAACACTGCTCCCAATTTGCATGTTCTTATAAATGATTTAGTACAATTTAAAAAAAAAAAATCCGTAGTTTGAAAGAGGAAGCGCTCAGTCAAGACTGATTCCTCTTGGGCTATTTTTAACCAGATGAGAAGAACATAACAGAGCAAAAAAGGAGAACAAGACAGCTGCAACTCCATCTTGTGATGACACGCTGAAAAAGAACATAAAGGCTAGATTCCACGTTCCTATAAAGAAGCGCACAGCTTTCACCAATTTCAAAACGTGTTTCATTCCCACCTAAAGGACAATCACCCAAAGAAAATAAAATGCTGTTATTTTTAACGAACGCCTAATTCTGCTCCCTCTGAAGTCAATTTGAGAGTAGCCACTAACTCGAATGGATGCTGGCTTACACCCGAAGAATATTAAAAACAAACAAAAACGAGGCAGACAAACACACTGACTAATGCCCGGAGTATGGCCGTACGGAGGATGGTCGTGTCATTCAGTGTTATTTCACCGACTTCTGTACTGCAGGACAACAGACAGGGTTAAACCTGACAAACCTGAAGTTATTAAAATTAAGAAACGCTGTTAAAGATTTCGGGAACAGAAAGGACTGGAGAAGAAGAGCAGCCACTCCATCAACCCCGTGCAAGCTCCACACAAGCAGCTCTACTGAAACCAGTGCCATTACACACGTGCAGGAAAAAACGTCGCACGATGCGGCGCGTTGGGAGCAGATACGGTAAAAAAAAAAAAGGCTCGAGCACGACGCACGAATAAAAGGAAGAAGTACTCTGGTTTTTTGGCAAGAGTTCAACTTCCTCCTCTGACTGCTTCTCGCTGTGTGGTACCACACCTTACTGTCTTCATACGACTCCAACCGAAAGAGCTGGAACCCAACCAACAATCTAGGTACGCTCCTACGATGGCCCAATCTAATAAAAAAAACCCCTAGCCTTAACCTGGCAGAAATTCATTTTCCGCAGTTACCTATGCAAACAGGAGCATACGAAGGAACGTTTGTAAGTACAGCTCTTTTACAAGGCGAAGGAGAGCTTTCAAAAGTAACGCTTAGCAACTCAAACGCATAGAAATGAAAATGAAGTTTAAAAAGAATCAAAATTCTAAGTTAATTGTGGGACAAGCTGCCAACAAAAGCCGTAAAAAGACCACCTGCACAATGGAAAAAGAAAACTAACCCCACTCACCAAGATTCTGCGACAGGATTTAAAAACCAGTATCTAGAGTTACAGTCAAACCTGGGGAGTATTAGCTGTTCAGCCTGAAAGGGGCTACAACAACTAGCGAATCCTGTCTTTATAAATCTGGTTAGAACTCTTCTGAAAGAAACGCCGATTCCCCGACTTCAAAAATAATTACCTCTTGAAACCGTTCCCTAATCCATGATCCGCTCTCGTGGGAAGAGACCAGTACAGTCCCAGCGTGGGCACAAAAACACCCCACGCGAGCTAAAACCGTGAACTCCTTCCAACCTGTGCTGGCTAACCCGAGCAGCTCACGCGACAAGAGGCATTAGGTTTGGGCTGTCCCTCTCCCAGAGGTTTATGTCACTAAAGTCCAGAGATGCCCCGCTGGCTTTCTACTGAATGAGAGGAATTCTTGGATTTGCTTCTGGTAACACAAAAGTGGAGACTTTCTGGGTCCACCCCACCAACGTGCAATTCCAAGTTCGGGCACAAAATTAAAGATGCCGGTAAGATCCGGCCTCCTGTTTGTTCCAGTTTATTAATTTCTAATGTTTTACTATTTCCACGCAAGCTAAAACCGTGAACTCCTTCCAACCTGTGCTGGCTAACCCGAGCAGCTCACGCGACAAGAGGCATTAGGTTTGGGCTGTCCCTCTCCCAGAGGTTTATGTCACTAAAGTCCAGAGATGCCCCGCTGGCTTTCTACTGAATGAGAGGAATTCTTGGATTTGCTTCTGGTAACACAAAAGTGGAGACTTTCTGGGTCCACCCCACCAACGTGCAATTCCAAGTTCGGGCACAAAATTAAAGATGCCGGTAAGATCCGGCCTCCTGTTTGTTCCAGTTTATTAATTTCTAATGTTTTTTACTATTTTAACAGTCTTCAACATCCACAAAGGCTACTAAAATACCAGTTATCTGATGAAATTACTGGGGGATTAAGGGCTCTGATGTTTACTCATAAGGTGATGCTACAGGGAAAGTGAAAGCTTATTCTGAACACTGAAGAGAAGTGATGAAGTGTTTGTTTTTTTGACTGATAACGTGATACCTGATTAAGTAGCAGATTCCTCACATACAGCCCTCCACCCAGCTTCTAGACTAATGATGTCAGAAGCTTCGGGAGTGGGTGGAGTTGGAGGTACTTTAGCATCTAAACTTAACCTGCATGGAAACTTCCAGGGCAAATGATGTGGTGTGACACATTCAGAGAGGGCTACGCTGAGAATACCAGTTTACCCTGCAAAGGGACATCTTGTGACCTTCCCTTCGCAACGAGGGGCCTACGAGCCGCGCTAGATCTCAGACAAAGAGAGTGACCTCCCGCAAACAAAAACACTTTGCCAAGGAGACCGCTCAGGAACACACATCGTTAATAATCACGATGAGCTGGATCCTGCCTTTTCTCTTACG